GGTCGACTCCTGGGGAGTTCCGCACTTAACAATCACCATCATGGGAACACGCTGCTGCTTCTCCAATGGGATGATCGAAGCATCGCCGTAGTCGTAGAATCCAGTGTAGACCTTGGCCATGTTGTGTCGTTTGGAGCCAGTAGCCACAGCCACATATGAGTAGGGCTCAACCTCATCCTTGGGGACAACAGGGTCCTTGAGCATACCCAACACAATATCCGGGGTGGAGAACTCCTCTCCCTTACCCTTGATAATACCATCACAAATGACCAAGATAGTTTTGTGGCTGTTCGGGTAGTCGGTCATGGCAATAGAATCCAACGTCGACCTAATACCCTCTTCACCTTCAGAGTAGCAAGTAATGAGACAAAGACTGTGAGCCAGAGGGTAGCCGAATGGTTGCCATTCAGGTGGAGGCTGAGGAACAACAGCCTCATGGATGAAACCAGCAGGACCCAAGCCATCGTGGTCCGTTGATAGTGTAGCATAACCCGCATCTTGCTGACCCTGAGTGGGAGGAACCAAGCTAGTCCGACTAGCAGCAGCATTATGCCGAGAGTTATCAGCGCTGAGAGTGCCTCCGCTACCGCTGTGGCTTAACTTGTACATAGTCCCCGGGTTGGAATTGGAGCTGGGCATCAGACGAGTAGTCGAGTTCTGGCTAGCCATCGTGACATATATCGGCTTTTGCTTGCTACCAGCGCTGCTGTTCACATTGTACGGGCTTGAGAAACGGGAAGTGGTCGGGAGAAAACTGGCACGTTTGCTGAGGCGATCTGTAATGACGGTTTCGGCGATTCGTGGAGCGGGCCGGTAGATATCGTTCGACCAGTCTTCAATCTGTTGATTGCGAGTCCTGGCGTCGGAGGACATACTCGTGCTCTGCGCGGCAAACCTGGGTGCCAGGAACCACTGGAAGAGCAGGGCGAAAGCGAATTTGACACCCACGATAGAGAGAATGAAGATCAGGGACACGTAGAGCACGACTTTCGACGCGATACAGCCAACCGTATCAGTGTCGATGCTGCCGACTTTGATAATCTGCGCCAAGCACTTGCCGATCTTCTTCTCCTCCCCGCTTTGTAGGTAGTAGGTAAGATCAACACCGCGGACATGTGGATTCTTGCGAAGCTCGTCAAATTGTTTGGGATAGGACACCTGAGTACGGTCAAACCAGGCAAGAAGATCGAGGTCGAGCACGTTTCCGGAGTAAATCGCCAGATTGCGACTCTTGTTCTTTGTATCCTCCCATGTATAGTACACATCCCCATCACTTTTCAGCGAGTAGAAAGGCTCACGGGCCGCCTTGCTGGTATGGCAAGCCCAGCCCGTGTAATATGGATCGGTCAAATTCGGCGAGGACGAACCATCCTGGTTGAAGGGCGCACAAGGGAAGTACCATCCAAGATCGCCAGCAGAATTTGTTGGAATATCGCTGTCAGTCTGAGCCGTAATCAATCCCTTGCACGCACCGTTGACCTGTTGGAAAAAGAAACTGCCATCCTGTCCGCCATACTTGTGCGGCAAGTCGTAGATCACATTCGAACCAGCGGGGATACCAGTGACAGCAGGGTGCTTGGAACCGGATAGGTCATAGGCCTTTCCGTGGAAGATCATGTAATTGGAATTGACTTCATTGACCTTCAATCGAACTGGGGGCGAGCCACAGACCGTAGCCGTGAAACCAAAAGTCAGGAAACCGACGAAAGCACCAATCATCAGAATGATGCTGATAAGGCCGATCTTCTCCCGCCAAGCACTGCGCTGCTCTTTCTGTGGCATGCCGAACCATTTCAGCACAAAGTCCGGGATGAAGAATGTGAGCACTGCACAATATGTGGGCCATAGCTCGGGTGGGCCACTCTGCTCAATAGCCTTCAGGCGTCTCTGCTCATCTGCAGCTCCCTTGGACGACCTCCGCGAACCTCTCTTCTTCTTCTTCGAGCGATGTCTACTAGGAACCCGCTCCATGGGTTTGTTGACATTACCCCGCGCACCGTACAAACCGTCCTTGGTCTTCGTATCCATGCTGCGCGAGCTGTTTGTCTCCGCCTCGCCATCTCTGTTGTCCAATAACGGATCGTTTCCCGTCGCCGAGGGGAAAGTGGGCATGCGGGTTGATTTTTGACGGTAGTGATAATTGGGTTGTTCCCGGTCATCCTTCCTGCGCTCTGGTTTGACCATGCGCTTTTTGTGTCTCTCACCTCGCCGCCCCGATCCATGCGCTCTTCGTCCGTGTCCATTGTTCTTCGGTGACTGGAATGTCGGCGACGGTGTCGGTGGGAGGGGGAAGTGGGGTCGTCGCTGTAAGCGCCCGAGTCGATATCTCGTCGATGACGCTGAGAGGGTTCGCGAAATGCGCGGGCTTCTTCGCGCCGAGGTGAGGGTTTGCCTGGCCTCTGCGGCAAAGACATCTCACTGCTACGAAGGCGACTGATGTTAGTCAATCCAGACTCTCGGGGGTTGTTTACTTGGTTAGGTTCGAATCTGCAGCTGGCGCACTCACTTTAGCTATTTGCGGCTCATCAGCAGCTGGTTGTGTGGAGAAGACTGTTCACGATATGGATCTGTTGTTTGCCGACTGAAACATGTCAAATGCGCAGGCCCGGTCCTCGATAATGCGACTTATGGGACTTGTGATTCTGTTCAAATCTCTTTGAAATCCGTAGGATCTCTCTATTATTGACCAGCAACTAGAGTTGCGGATTGTAAATCGGGGAGTTCTCAGCGAAAGTGGTACGGTCGGCCTGTGCAACGAGGTGGAGAATCAACAACAGTCCCCACCTATGCAAGAAATTGAACCAAGGAAGGATCTAAAACACAGCGAGGAGCGAATGTCGTAGTAATAGGAATAGCGAATGTGCTTTAAAAGGGAAATAAGAAAAAGGGAAGTTCTGAGACAAAGATGTAGAGGGGACTGACGCTTAACCTGAGAGAGGTTAGGCTTGTTTTAGGTACTTTTCATATTAAAACAAAACAAATGGATTTCTTTGTCGCTAGGGGCAATCCCAATCAATCCCAATCAAACCCTCACTACCTAGGTACCCAGGTATCTCCCCAAGTGAATTAGGCTAACTCTTCCACGGTTAACTAGGGATTTTACCACGGTTCATATTAATAAAACACCAAGAAACATCAGAATGGGAACAACAGCCGACAGCCAAGAAGAAATTCCCGTTTGATCACGGGGTCATCTTTCTATTTTGAGCTAAGACCCTGAGTCCACGGGGTCTTAGTTTGAACTGCCACGCCCTAAATAGCCAATTGCCACTTTGTAACGGATAAATATAGTTAAGCTTCCCTATTTCATCATTTCATCCCAGAACCCCTGTGCAAAACCCCGTATAAACTACCTTGTGATACATCTCTATATAAACAATGTTTCGAGTCGGTGTGGTCTAGAATTGAACCCTTTCAAGAGATATAATAAGCGATAATGCACACCATGTATGTATGAATGTAGGAATGCATGAACCCTGGACAAAACAGGGATTTGTACAACCAATCTACATATGTAAATTCCAGCCATAGCACGCATTGGGTACATAGTACTTGAAACAAGTCAAGAATCGGTATTGTCTCGATATAAAATTCCAGGATACCCCGGTCCTACATACGGACTCCGTAGCCCAATGCCAATCCGACCAATATGATCGACACTGGCGGGCCGATCATCACGGCAACCCCCAGAATCCATAGAGCCCATGGGCCCCATAGTGCATATGCACCATTCCCATTCGAATTCGAAGATAAGTTTTTTTTTTCCATCGTCTTCAACCACAAGGAAAGAAACGTATCACATCCTGCAGATAGTTCCTTCCCTTCTCAGTTCGAACCAAGAACCCACATGTGCAGTTTAGAAACCAGCTTGACTTCGGATTTGTTAGGTCTTTACCGTGGAGTCCGGGATCCTCGTCAGGCCACGTTCTTCGGCTCTTACTGGAATGCTGACGGTATCCATATCTCCGCGTCACCAGACGTAGTACGGAGTACAGTAAGCTAACTACGAGTACCCAGTAGCCAGTACTCAGTTCTGTGAGGGATGTCTGGTACTATATAGTCGCCGCATGGGTTATGTCGTCATACAAGCTGAGAGTACCATGCGGTTTGTCTTTGCTTTGACGGTGTGGTTGACTGCTGCAAGGAGCATACATTGACAGATAGATATGGTCGAAGGTAATTGAATAAACTCAATCAGGAAATATGACTTTTGCTCATTTCAGTTACGCTCAAGCCCTCTGTTTCAAATAGTTGTCAACACTAAAAGCTGACCGTCTCTTCTGATTGAGTTCCAGGTACACGGACTTAGGGTAAAAATGTCCGTATAATAGCCAGGTACTTCCACTTTCCAGCTACATCTGCCACGCACAGAGCCCCGGAAAGGTCGGACACTAAGGACACTACTGAACTACTAAAGAGAGACTAAAGACGGCCTAGAGACGGACTAAGGACAATGAGGCACTAAATGCTACTTAAAGGCCCGTCCCCACAGTGAAAGAGGGGAACCGTTCAAAGGTATCTTACTCCGTTGATGTCTTATGCGCTGTTAGACCTGTTAGACCTGTTAGACCGTTTAGACCTGTTAGACTATGGCATGTCTCGGAATGCCCTATTATCAAACCCGATAGGCATCATCTTTGGATTCTTGGCTTTTCTTAGGTTATACGAGAGAATGTGGCAGAGACAATAATAGTTCATCTCCACTCCACCATCTTAGGTAGCGTATGAAACAAAAAAAAAAAAGGATAAAAACATAAAACAATAAAACAATAAAGGACAAGAGAGAACTAGCATGTTGTATTAGTTTTATTTTCTTTTCTTCCCCTCGCTTGGCCTCTCTTTTCCCTTGACGTGCTTGGATGAAAATATCTCTAATAGTGTCGTGTCCACTCTTAGCGATCTTCGCTTTTCTCCACGTCCCCCATAAAGTACTAAATCAGTCGCCTTTCTTCATGGATCCCCAACTTCTCACTTTCGACCTTTCTTAATATCTCTCCACCATGGCCAGTCCTGCCCCAGGACATGAGGCCCTGCCATCTCCCCCACCAGCTTACCTCCGATCCTCACCTCCATTCACCGCATCGCAATCACCACAATCACCACGGACCATCCCGAACCGACCCCAGAGCTTGATCCTCACCCGCAAACCAATCTCTACCTCACACTCCGAAACCTCTCCCGTTATTCAGAATTCGCCACGCTCGCCAGTTAAAATCGCACATGGCGCAGACATTCCCGATGCCTCGAGCGCGCGCATCGAAGGCGCATACAGTGGGCCCACCACACCGCAATTGGAGCTTTCCGAGTTCGCAGACATGTCCCTCAACAGTCCCGTACAGCAGCCGCAGCAAAGCTGGAATCCTGCCGACCCTCCACGGCGAGACCTAACACAGGCCCCGAACTACACACACTCGCATTCGTACGGTCACACCCCAGCGAGCAGCGGCTCATGGTCAGTGGTAGAGCCGCAGAAAGACGATGGACACGGAAACCCGAAAAAGAGCGGCTCCTCGCTAGAGCGCGAGGGTCAGAGCTACGGCTCTTCACGGGGAAGCTTGGATAGCGTGGCGCAGGCGTCAGACAGCTACGAGCCTGAGCCTCTGACCTATCACCACCAGCAACAGCCGCCTGCGGCACATACAAAGAATCCCGCACCCAATGCCGGAGATAACCCATCCGCCTCAACGGACAAGCTTGCCGTTAGACGATCAAGGCTTTCGCGGCCTCTTTCGACATACTCCTCGGCCTCAGACAGTGGTCAACGCCGGAATATCTCCGCATCGCCGTATCTACATGCACGATCCTCCTCACGGAACTCGTTCGGAACCCCCGAAAACAGGTCTTCGTCAGTACTCGATCTACTCAATACATCATACCCGCAGCCGGGCCCAGCCACGCAATTCGACAACTCGCGTCTCCAAGCCTCAGTCGGAAACAACGCCTCTCTCCTTAGCCACAAAGAGACATTCGAGATGTACCTCGCAAACGTAAAGAAAACCGACGACCCAACCGTGCTCTACGAATTCGCCGTGTTCATGGTAAACTCAATGCGCGAGATGCCAGCCATGGACCTCGAAGAGACCAGCCCGATCACGCGCGCCCGTCTACTCCGCGAATCAAAATCCATCCTCCAGCGCCTCGCAGACCGTAGCTTCCCCTTTGCACAGTACTATCTTGGCGACGGGTACGCATCAGGCCTGTTCAGCAAAGGCGCCGAAGACCACGACCGATCCTTCCCGCTCTTCCTCGCAGCTAGCAAACACGGCCACGTCGAAGCCTGCTACCGCACAGCGCTTTGCTACGAATTCGGCTGGGGATGTCGTGTCGACGGAAGCCGCGCAGTCCAGTTCTACCGTCAGGCAGCGTCGAAAAACCACCCGGGTGCCATGATGCGCATGGCCAACGCCTGTATTGCTGGCGATATGGGACTGGGCAAGCGGTACCGCGAGGGTGTTAAGTGGCTGAAGCGCGCGACCGAGTCTGCAGACACGCAGTATAACGCCGGTCCGTATGAGCTCGGTGTGATGCACGAGAGGGGTTTCGGAGAGGATGTCTTCCCCGATGCCACTTATGCAGCGCAGCTATTTACTAAATCCGCTGAGCTGGGCCATGTTGAGGCTTGCTATCGTCTCGGCGATGCGTACGAGCATGGGAGATTGAATTGTCCACGCGACCCGGCGCTCAGTATTCATTTCTACACCGGTGCCGCGCAGAATGGGCATGCGGTGGCGATGATGGCGCTTTGTGCGTGGTATCTCGTTGGTGCGGAGCCTGTCCTCGAGAAGGATGAGAGCGAGGCGTATGAGTGGGCTCTCCGGGCTGCGAATCTCGGCCTCGCGAAGGCTCAGTATGCTGTCGGCTACTTTACTGAAATGGGTATTGGCTGTCGTCGTGATCCTCTCGAGTCGAATGTGTGGTATGTCAAGGCGGCAGACCAGGGGGATGAACGAGCTAAGCATCGCATTGCTACAATCCGAGCTGCGGCAGAAGGTTCATATGCAGGCGTGGGTGGTCGCAATGGAGCGACCCGCAACGGAGGCCGACTCAAGAAAGCCGAGCGCAAGGATAAGAACCCAAGTAATGGCCAGGGTGAGTGAACCAAACTAGATTTTGATATCGATACACATTTTTCTAACGATATGGATTATCCAGAAGCCGAAATTGAAAAGCCAGCCAAACAGAAACGATTCGTCATTTTCTAATTTAATATCCAACCCAAATCCCTTTATGACCTGATCTTTTCCAACAGTCTAGATCGCACACTTCCAAGCATTTGAAACCAACCTCACGAGCACAGCCTACGACAATACATACATAATCCCCATCCCAACCTCTGCATAACACCCGCGCAAGCAAAGCGCTCGCATGAAATCTGTCATTTTACAAGCGATTTGAACCCAAATCTCAATCTGGATCTTGCAATTCACAACCCCATTATTGAAATTTTCGTCTTTCTCAAGTATCGAGCTGATACCTCATATCGAATCTGTTTATACCACTCTCCTTTCCGTATCTACTCTACATCTTCCATCTCATTTCTCTTTCGTCCGATCATCTATTTGCGTGGTGGTTTCCATCTGCATTCATTCCTTTGCGCTCACACTCATCTTCGAATGAATATATGAGTTTACTTGTCGCTGGTTTCCGGGATTTGTTCATTCTCCGGCGTTGTAAAATCTTATTCTTACTCAGACAATCTATCATTCTATTGAGGGTATTGTATGCATTTCATCGTATTTTGGGAATATCTTGTGAATTCCTATTAACTTGTTTCCCTTTTTTTGGATTATCTCATTCTTGTATTCTTGATAAATTGTGGGGGTAAAGACATGAATTCCTTGTTGGCTTTTTTATAGAGGCCACTTCAAATCCATTGCTTACACTTCTATTCTACTCGCTGAGTCGCAACCGATCCCTTTGCTCCACCATTCTTTCCAGATGTTCCCCATCTTCAGATCCGCCTAGCGAATAGCGTCGGTTTGATCATATCCTCGAGGATGTCATTCGGGGTTGCTATGGGTGTGGGTGCCCATATCGTTTCCACATTGTGACCACGCAGGTAGACAGTATGTTCCAATTTGGTATCACAGATTTGACAATGTTGAAGGTAGGTTCCCTGGTCGGTGAGAGGTTGCCCGAGTGCTCTAAGATGGGGAATTGCTCTCGGATTGTGCTGCTTCTTAAATATCACTTGCGAATCTTTTTCCGTATTCTTGAATAGTTCTTTAGATGGTTTTACCCCTATTTATGTTAGAGTGAAACAACAAGTACAGGTTATAGAATACAGAAGAATGCGGGGCTAAATAGGATTAAAACGTGTAGATCGACTTTTCCATTCATTGCTTCGTTGACTATATCATACAGTCAAGCAGCACATTATGTTGTGCCTTAAAATCCAGGTTTGTACACGGAGAGAGCCGAGAAGTATTTGGAAAGAGCAGAGAAGTGCTGATGTTTGGCCAAAATTACAGTTGTTTGCATGGATATAATGTATAAAACCCATTGAAGATATCTGAAAACGAAGTGGAAAATTGTCAGTCCTAGATATGGGAAATATTGAAGGCGGCGTGAGTCGAACGGCGACGCCACGTAACCTCCACATGGTGTAGGACCAATCAAGTGCATCGTAGCAAGTCTATGCTCTACTTCCTTAATTAAGCTTGCGTGAATTTAAAAAAAAATAGGTTTCTTCTCTTTGATTGAGCGTGTCATCCTTAGTGTAGGGGCCATGCTAATCTTCTCTGTATATTTCATTTGACCATATGCCCCGAAGGGCGGAATAACTATGCGTTCACTTCAATATAACCTCACCTTTCGGCAAAATTACACCGCCTAGGATATACAACAAAACCTCATAAGAGGAAAGAGGAAACATAATTGTATAGAGACTAGGTTTTTTTTTTTCTATTTTTCTATTGCATTTCAAGAGGTTTATCATCAGTCACAGTTCACCATGACTGTCAGATCAAAAGTTATAGCTGAAAGTGGCATCTGGCAGATAAAACCTAGCAGCGCTTGTAAATTATGATACGGTGTATGTAGAACATGTTTAACAAATAATCCTTATTAAATCGTTGTGAAATACACGAGCTTCTTAACCCTGTGGCATACTGATGCTGAATCTTTTCAAGATCTGACGGGTGGACTTTGCATTGAGCTGGTAGGAGCAAATGAATACGAATAACAAGTTAGAATATCAAACACAACGGAAATATCAATTTTAATATGATCTAAAGGTGTAGGGTGTCATGCGGGGCAGTGTATAATCATGCTGACGCCCCCAATATTTCTCAGCTGGCGGGTTTCCCCGCCGGATGATCTTCATGCCTGTGATCAGTAATCAAGTACGTTAACAGAAACAACTTTGGCACCGATTCTCATCTGTTTTCTCCCCACTGAATTCATCAGCCATGGGTGTTCATGTAGTTTCAAAGTTGGATAACCGCCAGCATGCGAGCTTCAATCTTGAAGCCGCTGCTCAGCGGGAACTATCGGACTCTTCAGTAAGAATTCGCACGCAATTGATCAGCCTCAGTTCTAACAACTTGAGCTATGCCCGCATGGGCGGATTCTTACGTTGGTAAGTTTTCAACACCTACACAAACTGGACGAGACTGTTGCAAAACCACCTAAAATGAGATTCTGATCAATTACTCGCAGGTGGGACGCATACCCCGTATCTGAAGACTATCCCGCACCATACAACGACCCATCAGCCTGGGGAATCGTCCCAGCCTGGGGTTATGCAACTGTGGAAGAGACGACAATCCCAGAATTACCCAAAGGAACCGTCCTTTACGGATTCTGGCCCACAACCAGCACGCCAACCGATCTCAAACTCAAACACGGCGCACCAGAAGGCCACTGGATCGAGACCAGTGAGCATCGCCAGCAATTGATGCCACTGTACAACCGCTACACGGTAACCCCGACCACGACCCCAATCTCCGAGCTCACCGCGACGCTCAATCCCCTTTCAGATTCTGCACGGGATGAACTAGACCGCATGGCCTGGACCACGCTGTTCCTTGGCGGGGTAGCTGGGTTCGTTCTCAGCGAGTATGTCTTCTCGTCCAACCCAAACCAACCCCCCATCCATCCCCTGGGAAACCAAGCTGGTTTGCAATGGACCCTGTCCGACGGGGACTTGTCATCCGCAGTGGTAGTGAACCTGGCCGCGTCGACTAAAACGGCCCGTATTTTCTCATACTACCTGTCGCGGAAGCCGGATAACTCGGCACCCCTTGGCTTGTTGCAGGTTACATCGGCTGTGTCACGCATGGAGGAGGCGGATCGGAATCTGCCTACTTCTGTTCCTTCGAAGGTGGTTACGTATGGGGATGTTGATTCTAAGGAGTCTGCGGAGTGGCTGGTTAGCCGCAAGCCCTCGAAGATTGTTATTGTTGACTTTGGTGGTCGTGGGAATTCTGTGAAGGATACACTTTCTCTGATCAAGAATACTGTCGAGTTGCAAGATTGCAAGATTGTTATTGTCCAGGTTGGCAATGAGCAGAAGGTATACTCGACAGAGGAAATCATTGCTGGGCAAGCAGCGATGGCGGAGCTTGGGAAGGTCCAATATAACACTTCTGGTGTTCAAGACACCATACTCGAAACTGTTGGCCCGGAAGCCTACTTCGCAATAAAAGAGACACAGTGGGAGAAATGGCTCGATGAGCGACACTTGAGCGAGCCGGGGATGAAGATTGTATTTGGTAGCGGTGTTTCTGGTGCAGATGGTGTCGAGGGAGGGTGGGAGAGACTTTGTCATGGACAAGTCGGAGCCGAAGAGGGATTGGTCTACAAGCTGCAATGAGACTTGGTATTTAACATTCATGAATTTGGATATAGTATTTAACAGATAGAATGAGAAGGAATTCGCGAAAATAAAGCCCTCAAGGCTCGACATTATTCCGAAGATCATTGAAGTTCACTCAACATTAATGCTGGAGTACAAAAGTAGTAGACAAAAGAAGAGTCCAAACTCAAACAGACTATACGACCTGTTCGTATCGGGGAGCAGGCTCCATGGTGTGAATGCTCGCACTTTGCTCACTTGACGAACGCGCAGAATTGATCTCCACCAACATGGGCTGCTCACAAATATTCAATTGAGTAGCTGTCGACACGATCAAGTCCGAAAAGCGATCGCTGTAGGCAGGAGGTGGACTTTGGCTTCCCTGCATAAGTAGTATATCTTGCCCATAAATTGACGCATTATCTCCCATCACATTAGCTGTCATATAAATTTTAAAAGGCATAACTTCCGTAATCTAGATTCCGTCAGCTGTATGTTATAAAAACTCAATGGGTCATTTGCATACCACGCCTATTACATCACCTATCTCATTGTGGAACTCAGCAGTGATAGAAACCTCATGAGCGATCTTGAGGTGTTTGGTCGAGATACTCTGCGAGCAAGCGTCGAGACTCCGAGGCAAAGAAACGGGCGTGGTAAAGCGCCATTCAATCTCAGAGTCGTCATCCACCGGGGACTCATCTCGAGAGAAATCGACGGTCTTTGAGAAAACAGTCTGACTTTGTACTGCAGTGATAAAACGCATGTTGTGTTGCGCTGATTCTGCAGCAGTAGCATCCAACCGCGCAGTCTGTTTCTCGATCACTTTTATTGTGACAGTGTTGAGCTTGGCGTATTTCAATAACGGTGCAAACCAGCATTCCACAGGAAATGTGCAACCAAAGGGAACGTTCCGGTCAGTGATGGAGAGGCAGTATTGGATATTTTTGTCGGAGTGACCCTCAAGAGTCTAGATATGTTTAGTTATTTGCATGCGGTTAAATTCTCCCATTAATAGTACTAACCAGTGGGCAATGTGGTCTTAAATAACTTGTCTCCAAATCGGAAACCTGGTAAATCCTAACTGGCTTCGAGACCACGAAATCGCTTTTGAGGCGTCGCTCGATAATGGCCTCTACGCGATATGTGTGATATTGATGGTTTGGCCCAGTGGCTGTGTCGAAGACCTTACTTGGGAGGGGAATATCGAATAAAAATGCGTGGTCTCCTGCCGGCATTTGGAATGCGTTGAGTGTTTTCGAAGAAGCAAGTGGTTGTTCTTGCTCGAATGTGATCTGTTCGCGATTCTCTGATCCCAAGATTCCTTCAATGGGACTATATAAGGAAGTAAGAACAGAGTCAATAGCGAACTACGGGGTAGGGGTCCTCACATTGCAAATATTCCCCTCAATCTGACTTTGATACTTTTGACGGAGACGACTTGCGCAAGTGTGAGATTGAGTCTTCCTGTAACAGACACTGGATGCCGATCTTCTGAAATGAAAATGCATGCTTGATCAAGACTGATGAAATATGAGTTAGATTATTATGAAAAGGTTTAGGAGGAACAATTGTACCTCAACTCAGACCGGGTGATTTGTTTGCGGAACATGGTCGAATATGCAAGCAATATTTAGCTCGATAAATTAAAGGTTAGAATAATGATGCAATTGAATATGAGTTGGCCAATTTATAGTGGGAAATCATGGCACATTGTCTGTTCTTTATACTTGTGTCCGCGCAACGGAGCGGACATTCCTAAACGGGGTCGGGGAGTTGATTTAAAGGTCGCAAACCTTACAAGGGCAGGTCTTCGTCACGGAAGGAATGCCGACATTCTTGTGATGCTGTCTAAACACGTATGTTTCAATAATTTGCGCAAAGCTTTCAAGGTCAGTCCTTGAAGACTTCTTTCTGAGGACTTTGATAGGGGCATTCCTTGATCTATGACGGAGCATCTTATCCTCCCACCATCATATGACTGTTACTTCTCAAAGTACATACGTATATCTACAATTCATCATAGTACTAGCGCTACTTTGTCTCATCTCAAAAAGCTTGGTAACGTTTCGGAGAACATATTCGGAAATAGAAACCATCTCAGGCGATGCCATGTTAGCTAGCTTGTTTTACGTAGAGTTTTTAGGTAGGTGATCATACCCCTTCTAAAAGGCCTAATTCTTTGATTAGAACAGTGAATTCTTTGATCATAACATTGTTATAGTATCTTCAAGATCCTTCAGGAATAGAAGGTGCTTTCCAACTACCAAAGTAAACATGTGGCGATAGTTGCAAAGAATATTTTGAGCCCAACTTTTGTGAAATTGATATACAATTAATTGGTCACAGTTTTTTGTAGAAACTCTCCAGTTAATTTGATTATATCTTATAACTTAAGATACTTACAGGTTAAAAGCAGCCTTTGCACCGATCTTTTTCCGAGCAGTTGGTGGGCCCATATGCGAAATATGCGAAGGAGAGTCACCGCCGTGGACGGGATCTCTCGAGGGTGGATAGAAAAGTGTAAACCGACCAATGAAACAAGGATAATCCAGTCCAACTGCGGGCAGGAGTATAATTGAGAGAAAAATTCGAAACGGAACGCACACTGGCCTTTAGAAACCGTAGAAAAAAACAACCACTCCATACAGTGATAAATATACTTCAATATGCCACCAAAGAAAGCAGTTGAAGCGCCTACAAACAATGTCGTCGCCTTCGGGCGCGTCAAGTCCAACCTCAAGATGGGTTGTGTTGGCCTGCCAAACGTGGGAAAGAGTTCGCTGTTCAACTTGATGACGGAGCAGAGCGCGGCGGCAGAAAATTACCCATTCTGCACCATCGAGCCTAATGAAGCCCGTTGCGTTGTTCCTGATCCCCGATATGTAAGTTCTTCCCCTTTTCTTAATTCTGTGTGGGCAATTCCCACGTGATGGATCTTAGCCCTGTCGGGAGGCTCGTTCCCTTTTGGATCATTTAAATATAACATTAGGATGAGCTCATAACTAATAATGTGAGATAGGACTTCCTGTGTAAGATCTGGAACCCACCTAGCAAGTACCCGGCGTATTTGCAGGTTACCGACATCGCAGGATTGATCAAGGGCGCGAGTGAGGGTGCCGGTTTGGGAAATGCCTTCTTGAGTCATATTCAGGCTGTGGATGGCATGTACCACGTTGTCAGAGCATTTGATAACGATGAGGTTCTCCATGTGGATGACTCCGTTGACCCTGTTCGTGACTTGGGTAAGAACTCCCCCTTGAAAGATGCAGGAGAGATATATGCTAATGGTGCTATGACAGATACCATCCAGAGCGAGCTGTGTAAGAAGGATTTGGATATTCTCGCCAAGGCTAAGGTTGCTGAAGAGGCAATTGTGCGGAAGGCTGGAGGAAAATTCAAGATGCTGCCGCTGTTCGACGAGACAACCGCTAAGATCAAGGCGGTATGTCACCTCCTCTCTTGAAAGATATGTGTAGTTTGCTAACTTCTCTACAGCTCTTGGAACAGGATAAGCCTGTTAGAGATGGAGAGTGGACGACTCCTGAAATCGAGTTGATCAACGAGAAGGTTTGTCCAGAATTCTGTAATACTCAAGAGACAATGCTGACAATCTCAAGCTCCGCCTCATCACTACCAAGCCGGTAATCTACCTCATCAACCTTACAATGAAGGACTACCTCCGCCAAAAATGCAAATACCTGCCCAAGATCGCAGAGTGGGTCAAGGCCCACGGCGGCCAAGGCTCAGATATCATCCCCTTCTCCGTCGAGTTTGAGGAGAAGCTGTGGTCCCTGCGGGATGACAAGGCAGCGCTGGATGCCTTCGTGGCTGAAAGTAAGGTTCCGAGTCGCCTAGGAAAGATTACCACCGAAGGTATGCCCCCGATATTCGCCTCGCTTACCGTACCCCATACTAACAGTCACGACAGGCTTCACCAAGCTGGGACTGCAGTATTACTTCACTGCTGGCGAGAAAGAGATCCGCTGCTGGCCGATCAAGCAAGGAACATTGGCTCCCCAAGCAGCTGGTGTCATTCACGGCGACTTTGAGCGCGGTTTCATCAAGGCTGAAGTTGTGGCGTACAAGGACTTCCATGATCTCTGCAATGGTGAGAAGTCCATGGGCCCCATCAAAGCCGCTGGAAAGTACAGACAGGAGGGTAAGTCTTATGTCGTTCAAGATGGCGACATTGTGCACTTCCAGTTCAATGTTGCACCCCCCAAGAAGAAGTAGAGACCTCAATTCAGAGTTCCAACTCGCAAGGGATCACGGTACATGGATTCTACTACTTCGTGGAGTGCGGGAGGAAATTCAGTATACTGTTGCACTTATTACAGTAAATAGACTTCGATGCATAGAAATGATATATTATGTGATCAGGTTTATATTTGTTCAGGGATCTTTAACTTCTGTGCAATTTCTATCAAGCCAGATCGTGATGAACAAATTCGAAGTCGGGCATGTCCAGATCTAGTAACAATTGATCATTGGCAGAGTTTGGAAAACCGACATCAAGGAAATTGCCGAAAAAGGTGTCGAAATCCTCAATCTCACCTGCCGTTAAGAATGCCGTGCTGTCTACTTCTAAATTCGAAGGTTTATCTGATCCTAGTAGGTCATCAGGCAGAGGGTGTGAGGTTTGATAATATGCATTAGCCCGTGTCTCCACATGCGGAATGTCGATAGCCGAGTGCGACTGTATATTATCAGTGGAAGTAGGTGGTGTTGGGAATATATGGCTCGATCCATGCTGAGAGTTTAGTCGGGTGATATTGATATTTGGACCTGTGGAACGTTCCTGGTCCATGGTGGGTTGGATGTTGTTCAACACACGCTGGCCTAGACGAGTCATCACAGCGGCCGACCACCATGTGGTGCTCATTTTCTCGAGACATCGATGAAATAGACGGATTTGGTCAATGGCTGTGTGGCGCGCACTTGGAAGTTTGCTTTCTCTCAGTTGTTTGTATGTGACCGAGAATACGAGTGAGATGGTGTAACCGATCATGGGAAGCGGCAGAAAATCCCGAATATCACGATTCCAACTGAGTGACGCGACGGTAAGTATTGAATGACTTTGTCGGATTTTTGATGCTCGTGGCCTTGATCGGCCTTGCAACCCGCTAGAATGTGTTGACAGAATAATCACAGCATAATAAACAAGCTCGAGAGACTCTGTCGGTCGAGTGGTTAGACAATGTTGCAACTCAAGGGCGGAATAATTCATACCAAGTAGGTCTGGGGACGTATCCCAAGCCTTGCAGTCCTCCACAATATCCTCAAAGGACGGAAGATCGAGTTCACTCTGATCAACGCCTTTCATGATCGGTCGGTAGAAGTGAATCACTTCTCTGAGCTTATCGGCAATTCGAAGCCAGACACGAAATGGCGATTGAAACGTTGAAGCAACGTCGTCCACCCTTTGACTTAGGTCTTCGTCGTGTATCATTAAAGGCCTCCCATTCATAGCAGCGTTCCATCGGTCTAGACTCCACAAACACCAGAAAAGACCCCTGGAAGATGTACCAGAGTGTTGCTCTGGCCTCATCAAATGCAACCCCATAGTCTGGGCATGGTGGATGGCCTGGGCCAGATTCAAAGAACACTCTTCAGATCCAGTGGAGCCCCATTCATGTAGTGAGAGAAGAGCCAAAATTTGTATTGCAAGTACTTTTTTCTCTGCCTTTCTCGAGATGTTTTGCATGGCATCAGTATAGAGAATTCTGCAGAATTTCTCTAGTGGAAGGGGGTTTGAATTAGGACCAAGGCATAAGAAAGGCACCGCATCCTGGTCCTTCGCTGCAACAAGGCAAATCACTTGCACAAGCCGCAGAGGGAGTCTGCCCGCTCTATGCTGGTTTCTAACGCTATCTTCGTCAAAAAGAGGCAGTAATGGGTGTATCCGACGAAAGTAGATCTCTAGCAAGGCCTCCTCGCAGTCTTTCGGGGGCAGCCAGTCGGGGTGAGCATGGGTCCCTAGTACTGTTTGTGAAGAGGAGCTAGGAATTTCGCCCTGGTCAATGGAGCTCTCCTCGGCACCCAACCATGCACCAACATCCCCTTTCTGGGATCGACCCCCCTTCAGCCTTGACTCATTCTGCTCCATGAGTGTCGCTACAGGGTGTGAGTCACACGCAAAACGACGAGATTCTTGATCGACCTCTGCAGCTGGACCTGCATCAGGGGCGGTAAATTCCCCCCGTTGTTGTATCAGATTCTGAAGCGAAGACCCATTTAGTCGCTCGCCTCTTGGAGATGCAGATCTATCTCGGACTGCTGTATCCCGTCTTGAAGCCTGAGATGTAGGACTTTGGCTACTTGTGAGACCAGAGATGTTGGGGGAAGAATCCCGATCAACCAATTGACCCTCAGAGATATTGTGATAGCAGCGTTTCTAGCGAAATCAGCATACAACTTCCTTTGTTGGAAGGCCATCTCGGAATGCGATACCTTTTTGTGACGACAAGAGTTACACGCACGCCGTACATGCCCCCTCTTGGCATTTGTTCCATCTTGACTCACTAAGAAAGTCAGCTCCATTGTAAATGATTCTCATGTCTCGTTCATCTAGCTGGCAGGTCGTTGCGGGCTCTTTCCCTGTCGGGGGCGGGAACGACCACCGGAGCGGCGACCGTGTCCCAAAACGGAAAGTCCGCGCCCGTAGCACAGGGTCAGCACAAAGGATAATCCACCACAATATGACCATGAACGAAGTATTAATACGGTAATATTTTATACCCAGAGAGGTCTAGGTCTAGATCAAAATCACACCGTTCTCGCTATTTAGTATGGCAAGATACTATTCGCTTAAGTGCACCTCGACATTTATTTCCCATATGGTACTTCTATGATCAACCCCATATCCACAGAAGTGGTAGGCTATACATAGGTCCAAGCATAGACTTTTGATCGAAAATATACAGTTCAGCAGAATTTCAAGGCTGAAGAACAGAACTGAGTCATGTATCATGTCCTGTATTATACCTTATCCCGTCGAGTTCAGTGCAAACAATTCAGAATATCAACTACAACTGCCTACTCTAGTTTAGTGAGGATATGCAGGCTACCATATAAACGCAGTCTCTATTACCCACTATGGTCTAGAGTCCCCGAATTTACCCATGTCTCATATCACATTCTATTATATATAATTGACTCCTTAGGCTCATCGTTTCAAATATCAGACATCTTCATAACACCTCATTCCCAGTAATCTTACATTCCTATCCTTTTACATTAGTTAGTTATCAGCCGGGGTCAATATGACACTCATTCGTTCGAGATAATACCGCTGACTGTGTCCATTTGCCCTGGCGTGGAATCCAGGTCTTGTCCAAGTTATTTGAGGGATAATCTATGATATATCCAATCTCTGCTCTCAGCCACATTTTGTTGTACTGAAATAACGAATCCATATCTACTCATTTAGGGTTCGATGTCAGTTCCGGTCTTCCCTCTAGTCCTTGTTAGATTGCTTTCTAAACGGATGGTTTTTATGCCAGCAGTTGTCCCTTTCCATCTCTGCTCATAAAACCAAGAAGACTGTTGACTGCATCGTGATGCCCAACATCAATAGACAGAGACGCAAAGGAACAACTACTGGTATTAAAACTGTCCGTTCAATAAGCAATTTTGTAGAGACTGGGGAGAAGAGCGCTGCTGCCATCCAGTTCTTAATGAGTTGATATGGGGTTCGGCCTAAGAAAATGGAAAAGAGAGTGAAGATAGGACCACCCTATTGACTATGCCATCAAGAAATTATATAAAAACTGGGGTTTGATGTAATTAGAGATCCTGTGTTTAGCAAATCAAGTTAAACTACGTATAAACCAAGGTTGAATAATACAGGATAAAGGCCACAGAAGGGGCAGAGTATTCTTATTTTCATATAAAACTATACCTGGTCTGCACACGCCCCCGGTATACCCAATGCAAACTTTTCTCCTCGCCTCAATCCTTTCCTTCTCCAACTCAACCCTATCCCCGCTGTGTCCGGCTCTTCTGGACTCCTCACTCAAGACGTTCAACTGGCGGTACCGCCGGGGACCCTATGGGTCATTGCGGCCAATCTCCCCATTCTCCGCTCTGGGCCTCACAGTCCACCCCTGCAGCATATTACAGATCATGATGCTGCCCTCTTCTAGATCATATGGCTTTGCACCAGCCATCGGTGGGAGTCCACTGGTAAACTGAATCCAACTGCGCGCCATCTCCTCCCCTTGACGCCGCAGAAAATGGTTGCGGTGCATAGGGAGACCCCTGTCAAGTGTCATGAACTGGTACATGAGTTCGACAAAATGACGTCCCATCGGGTATGAGAAAGACGACTCGGGGAAGGATTTGCTAGACCAAAATGCCAGCGATATAAACGTTTCCGACCACTCCTAACCACCACTGAGACGACTCAGCATGGTGGTGATCGATCAGACGGCCAGTTAAACTGCTGAGTTGTGAATGGTTTAGGCTAAAAGTTGGAGTAGTGGTCGTGGTCGGTGTCTTGATATATATCTTGAGATTGAGTTATGTCTTTTCTGTTACCCCGGTGAAAAGTGTAGCGTTCAAGGACATGGGTAGAAACTACGCTCATGCCAATATCCATGGGTTGGCCGGATGTGAGATATTAGTGCCGCGGTGGTTGACCCCTGGATCAGTCGGGACATTAGTCCACTTCGTGGAGATTATATGGCAACTTTAGCCGTGGGGTAGTTTTCCTGAGCAGCCTTCATAGTTAGTAAAAGAGTCAATAGTCGGTGTAATTATATTTGATGTACTCGGTATCCATAGTTATCATAGTTATAGTTAACTAAACCTGAATAGATCGAATGTTCTCCACAAAAGAGGGTGTGCTGCCTTGTGCTGCCTTGTGTTGCCTGACGCTAATCCAGGCAGCAGCCTCATTTCTGCCAGATCCCTCAGGCCACAAATATTGACTGCGTAACAACCTCTCCTCCTGTTTTCTTATTTAAAAGGTGGCTTATTCCTTCCTCTGCTCTGTTCTATCTTTTTTATCACATCTTGCGCCTTTTGCATTTTTGTTTGCTCCTAACCGGGCAGCTCTCTTTTTACCTTGTACACCTCAACCTCGTACTGGACCCTTCCCTCCTCAACTTCTACATTCTACCTTCCCATTGCCTGCTCTTCATACCCAGTGCTCTTTTCTATTGCAATTGATCGACATCATGCCAGTTAAAAGTTTCAAAAAACTTGTCATCTCCGTCGGTGGGACTTTTCCCAATCTGAGACAAGGTATGGGCCCCCTATTTCCAAGGCGGACTGTGTATAGCTCTCCACAACTTGTATGTTGACGATTATACTCTTCACAGCGGACTTAAAAGCGCTCATTGAGAAGAACGGTGCTACATTTAGCACGTCGGTTACGGATGATTGTACCCATTTGGTGACCACTGAGAAGGACGTGGAGAAGCAAACTACCAAATGTGAGTACACAACCGCAGACACAACCTCGGAAGTTTGAAACCCCTATGTACTTTCTCAATGGTCCATGTGATTTCATCTCAGCACTCAAATCTGTGACAAACCGTGTTGGGGATGATAGCGATGATGCGTGAGATGTTTTGGCCCCCCGGCACGCCATTTTCATAAATGACAAGCCTAGACGGTGTTTGATGGCAAGCAGCAGTTAATTGTTCAAACTTCCGAGGTAAAATTGTACGAGCTCGGGAGCCCTTTATTGACCAATCAACTAGACAAACAAGCTTCCCAGCTCACCAATTGTCACATAGTGCCACTTTCGTGGCTTCTTGAATCAGACCAAGCCAAGAAACCGTTACCGGAGTCAAAATATGCTTTTGGCCAAGCCAATCAGGCATTCCAGGCAGATGATGACACGCAGAACAAGATTGTGGATGGTACCGCATCTCTTCCTGCAGACAACAAGCGTATTACCAGAAAGCGAGGCGTGGATGCGGCTTCTGCTGCAAACGATGCCGACAAAACAACAAACGACACGCAGAAGAATGGCACAAATGGCAAAGCCAAGTCCTCCGAGGATAAAAAGTCTGCAACCAAAAAGCGAGGCGCGGATGAAGACCCTGTGAAGAAAGGGTCCAACAAAAAGACAAAGGACATTCAAAAAACAACCATAAAGGCCCTCAATGTTCCAATAGATGATGGATTTGAGGAATTGGGTAAACTAAAGGGTAAGTTTGCAATGAGAGAGCTCAAGAGTGGAAGACAAACTGACACACCTTGTGATAGACCCCAAGGTCTACATTGACAGTGCAGGCCTCATCTGGGATGCTACCCTGAGCCAGACTGTGGCATCTAGCAATGCCAACAAGTTTTATCGCGTTCAATTATTGGTCGGTTCGAACTCGAAGTACTTTGCCTGGACACGGTGGGGTCGAGTTGGGGAGCATGGACAGTCAGCCTGTCTCGGAGACGGTGGTTTGGCAGCCGCCATGCAGCATTATGAGAAGAAGTTCAAAGACAAGTCGGGCCTCAAATGGGCGAATCGGCTTGATACTCCTAAAAACGGAAAATACACGTTCCTTGAGCGCAACTACGAGGAGGATGAAGATGAGGAAGAGCCCGTTAAAAAGGAGAAAACCATCAAGGAAGAAGAGGATTACCCCCGGGCCGAGAGCGCTCTATCCAAAGGGCTTCAAAACCTCATGTCTTTCATCTTCAACAGACAAAACGTCCTCGACACATTGGCCGCAATGTCCTACGATGCCCACAAACTGCCATTGGGGAAGTTGAGTGAAAGGACGTTGAAAAGTGGATTCTTGGTCTTGAAAGATATTTCCGAGCTCATGATTACACCAACCTTGGCACAAGAAAAACATGGGCTATCATATGGTGATGCCATAGAGGCATTAAGCGATCGATACTTTACCTTGATTCCCCACGTCTTTGGCCGCCATCGGCCACCGACCTTGAACACGAACGCGCAGATTAAGAAAGAAATCGATTTGCTGGAGGCACTGACTGACATGGATGTTGCGAATGAAATCATGGTATCGTCCAAGGAGGACCACGATGACACCCACCCTCTAGATCGCCAGTTCCAGAGTCTGGGTATGGAGGAGATGACAGAACGTGAGTACCAATTCCCAAATCTACGAAATCTCGCAAAACTGACCTCGTCCAGTGGACCACAAATCAAACGAGTTCATCGAACTCGAGAACTACCTCCAGAACTCTCGCGGCGAAACACACGACATGAGCTACAAGGTTGTGAACATCTTCCGCATCGAGCGACGAGGCGAAAAAGACCGCTTCAACGCATCCCCCTACGCCAACATCCCAAACAGCGACCGCCGCCTCCTCTGGCATGGGTCCCGGAGTACAAACTTCGGTGGTATTCTCAGCCAAGGTCTTCGCATCGCCCCACCCGAAGCACCCGTCAATGGATATATGTTTGGCAAGGGTGTGTATCTAGCTGATACTTCTAGCAAATCCGCAAATTACTGTTGTCCCCACAACAGCCGTGGAATGGGATTACTTCTCCTCTGCGATGCGGAGCTCGGTGCTCCCATGCTAGAGCTTGAACGCAGCAACTACAACGCTGGCGAGCTAGCGCATGAAGAGGGCAAAATTGCGACACTCGGCAAGGGATCGAATATTCCTGGTGGGTGGAAGGATGCTGGATGTTTGAGTCCGGCGTTGGAGGGTGTGACAATGCCTGATGTGGCTATCGATAGCGCCTACAGTGCCAGTAATTGCCTGTACTACAATGAATACATTGTGTATGATGTCGCGCAGATCCGACAGCGGTATTTGTTCCAGGTCAAGATGAACTGAGTGATTTGCTTTTGCATGGATTGGAGTATTGGGTTCCTGGTCGGGGAATTATTGAGCGGGAGTTAGTTTCGGATATGTTAGCTTATTTGCTTCTTCAAAGTCATTGTCATGTATGATTACGAGTTCAGTACTTACTCAAATATCAGATTAATTTAACTATGAATGCTAGCCATAATATGTACAATAAGCGATAAGCTAGATATTCGTCGTCTCGAAAATCTTCTGGGCTACTACCTACCAGTATGATATGGAGTCACCGGTATGGCATTATCCCCAAGTTAAATACGACGCACGTTGAATCTGCGGTTGTGGGTGGTTGGAGAATGCGAGGCATAAGCAAGTATATCAAATGACAGAGAATCATTCCGAAAGTTCACAGTGATTATGGAATGCAAATTTGTTAAGTAAATCACAAACCGATTGGTTCCACCATTCTGTACATAAATAACTTCCATTGTATACCAACAAATTCTGGGGTAAAATGTGTCCTACCTAATATGGCCATTTCCATTTCTAGGCAGTGCCGTTCCTGCGCTAAGCCGTATTTGGTGGAACAGTAGCCCGAGCTAGCCCATTTGGGAGGAACATAGCCTATGGCTCCCACATCAGGCAACCCACGCAGACCTCGGAACGTGGGGAGATGCTATGACATGCCGAACTCCAAGATCCCGACCGACCAGAAAAGAAAGGTCACGCGGCGCGCCATATATTGAAACAACTAAACCGTCTACATCCTTCAATTGAATTTAACCCACAACAGCCCGCATCACAGCTCCTAAACCCCCCGAACACCAAAACACCAAACCACCACAACCCACGAAAATGTCCAACCTAACCCCAACGACGACCCCACCATCTTCCAAAAAACCCCAAATCACCATAATCGGCTCCCTAAACATCGACTTCGTAACAGCAACCCCACGCTGCCCAGGACCCGGCGAAACCCTCACAGCAACCTCCCTAACCGTCTCAGCAGGCGGCAAAGGCGGAAACCAAGCCGTCGCCTGCGGCCGCTCCTCCTTCACATCCCAAACAACCCAAGATGTCTCCGTGAACATGATCGGCGCCGTCGGCGCCGATGACCCATACTACGCCACCCTACTCCAACCCGCCCTCTCGAAATCCGGCGTCGACACGGCATCCATTGAACAATCGACCGTTGCGCAGACGGGGTCGGCTAGCATTATCGTCGAAGAAGCCATCGGCGGCGAGAACAGGATTCTCGTCGTCCCAGGCGCAAACCATGCCGGATTGCTCAGCGATGTTGGAAATATTCTCGCTGCTTTACAGAATTACCCGTCTACGCCCGATATCATTGTGTTGCAAGGTGAGATCCCGCGCACCACGACGCTGGGATTGTTGGAGTATTTCAATGATGGTTCTGTTGGGGACCGCGCGAAAGTGGTGTTTAATCCCGCCCCTGTGTTTCCAGAGGGGATTCCGCTTTCCGCGCTACGGGGCACTGCTGTGCTTATTATGAATGAGACCGAGGTTGTGCAGATGGCGAGGTCTATTGAGGGTCTTCCTATTGGGGATGTTGTCGAGGGGGATGAGTTGAGGCCTGAGGAATTGGCGCCGCGGTTCCATGAGCGCGCGGACGTTGAGATTGTTCTTATTACGCTTGGTGCGAAGGGTGTTTATTTCTCGACGAAGTCGGGTCAGAGTGGGATTGTTGCTGGTGTCAAGGTTGCTAAGGTTGTTGATACTACTGCGGCTGGGGATACCTTTGTTGGGTATTTTGCGACTGCTGTGGCTCGGTTCTTGGCTAGCGGAAAGAGTATTGGGGCGTTTGATGATGAGATTGAGGGTGCAGTTTCGAAGGCGAATTCTGCTGCCGCTCTGTGTGTGCAGACACGAGGGGCTATGCAGAGTATTCCCTTTGCGTATGATATGGAATGAAGGTATGAAACGACGGGATGTAAATATAGATACTAGTGATGAAAACAAATCAATAGAAATGGTATTTTGGGTATAATTATGAGATCATAGCGTCAGCTTCATCATCGAATTCCTCCTCGTATCGCGCCAGATTCCACGCCTCTTGAAGCGCATTAGTCTCGCGGTCAAGTTTGATGCCTGTTGTGGCTGTGATTCTGGAAAAGCGTTCTAGTAGAACCGCTTGTTGGGATTCATGTGTCATCTCCTTCGCAATGGTGAGAAGGCTTGCAACCAATATCGGATCCCATTGTTCGGGGGAATCATTACTTGCTGCGATCCCGGCGATTGACTGCGCATGCCAGATATGCGAGGTGACGGACCTTGGTCCGGGCAGTGATTTCAACAGTCGCGGCTTATGTGTAAGCAATAATAGAGAAATCATGTGGTAGACAGCGTTGGCGACCAGCGCCATTGGCGTCGTGAAGATAAGAATTGGAAATGAGGAGTCGTGGTCAGGATCAATTTGGTCAGCTTCCCCTCCGCGGATGTCCACGATCTGTTGTACATTTACTGGTCGCTCGTTGTACCATTTCTGGCAGTCTGACCAGAGGAAAGTCCATTGTGATAAGGAGTGCGATTGTCGTAAAGATGGGAATGCTGTCAGATCTGGTGATGTGACTGTATGCGGAGAAGGCATTTCTCGATCACCGTGTGTCAGGGTTAAGCAGTGTCCCAGAAGACACAATATGTGCTTATATACGGAATTGACGGTCTGAGGCAGCATGGATTGGGTGTGGTGTAATAAGGTGCCATCTCGTCGTAGTAATGATGGGAAGGGCATAAGTGGTGGCTTTGAAGAGGATATTGAGCCGGCGAGATCTGTAAGGTGTAATAGTTAGTTTGCTAGCGAATTTGTTGAAGAGATTAGAGCTTGCCCTACCAAACCGAAAGTAAAGCCAAAACAAAGCGTCCCCGACCTCTTCTCCCACTGCTCGTGACGCAAAGTCACTTATATGCTCTATTCTGGGAATCAAAAGGCTTCTCCACTGCTGCGGCCCAGCAGGCAGAGCATCTTGAAGCATCAAGAGGGCATGACCAGCATATCTAGCTAAGTCATATTCAAGCGTTAGACTCTCTTCTGCTTCCTTTCGGAACTGCTGGCTACTTTCCAGGTCCTTGCTAGTTGGGGTTGCCACCAGAAGTCGTTGAGCTGCAGCCAGGGCAAGGACGGCGACTTGTAGAGCTCTGTTAGTTCGTGAGAGCAGAAGGACCTGCAGTCCGAATGGGAGCTCAGGGTCTCCAGTATCAATCCAAGGACCGACATGGTAGCGGAAATGTCGAAGCAAGTCAGTCTCATGATTGCCACATCCAAGGGCTATTCGTTGTTCGACTGTTCTCTTGCTGGTGAGAGATCTGTATCCAACGTATGGAGCACTGTTCATGTATCGAGTTCCCGGCGCACTCCGTTCACTGGCAAATGAGATTGGAGGCTCAGAAACGTTGACGTTTGGAACTGCGGATGACAGGATGTTTTGGAATTCAAAAGCACAGCGGGCATCTCCGGTGTCATCTGGGCCATCACCCGAAGATTGCAATTCGTCTAAAGAGTAACCGGTGTTTCGGTCACTCTGAGAATCATCTGCAGCTTGCAGCGGAGCCTTTGGTTTCTCCTTGTTTGCTGCTGCAAGGGGCGAGGCATCGACAAACTGATCAAAATCAACCCCATGTCCATATTACATCGTCAGGTAGACTAAAAAACCGAATCCATTGTGGAGTACTCACTGTAATATTGTTATACGCTTGTCTCGACCCAGCAGAAACGCCCCCTTCACGCTGCGGGACAAACGCTAAACCAGAACTGTATTTACACGAGAGGCCTTTAACTTCGCAGTTAGCACAGCTAGGCTTCTGCTCATCACCTACAATGGCAAACTGTCAGTTCTGATCGACCAAAAAAAAAGAGAACCACGTGACACGTACATTTTCTTCTCCTTTTCCGACAGGTCAGGCAACCAGTCCTAACCCGCTGCTTGGCCGCAGGTGTGGGTTTTCTGGGCATAGTGAGACGTGATACGACATTACCCCAGATGTTGCAGAAAAGAAGGATCGGAGGCTCCGCAGTCCCGATATGTGCTCGACTGCCGGAGGTGGCCGATCAGTTGAGCCTGTGGGGCGAGCACCAATGGGGAACAAAAGAGGCTACGGTGGGCGATTGTGGCACAGTGGTCATTAATGTGGTATAGACTTGACTGCTTTTGTTAAAAGGTATTATTGTTAGTACTGACTAAACTCTTTTATTCCTACTAAAAAAAGTATATGGTCTACTAAAACTTTGTTCATATTCTAGATTAATTTTCTCTACCATGCGTTGACCAAATACAAGTTTTGCCAATCTTGGTAGTTGATGAGGTCTCACTTCCTCAGTTCCCAAAAAAACTCCTTTGAGAAATATTGTCTCGTCGTGAAGCCAAATACACACACAAGCTCAGGACGCCATGCCCTTGCCTTGTGGTGTTTGTGCCGCCTTTGTTGCATCTTATGCGCCGAATAATCAGGAAAACCAGCGTATTAGGCTCGCATCAATTGTGATTCTTTGTGGAATAATGTGCCAGGTTGAAAGGATTAGATTCGGTCAACCGGGAACAAGTATCGGGTCCTCTTCTCATTGAAGCCGCTGCGGTGTAAGATCTTCAGTGAAGCCACATATCGAAATTCCACATCTGAGATTGCACCTGGTCTTCCGCCTGACCTTTGATAGGTGGACGATATAGAAGCGTGCGTTGAAGTTTCTTAGAGTTCCCATGTACTCTGATTGAGAGGGTCGTTTCGAAGAAGGACGTGTAGGATGGGCTGAACTGCAATCCGCATCTTCATCCCCAAATTCGTGACTACAAAGCAATATCCACGGTCTGGGTTGACTATTGTTCATTTTTTCCTCCCCAAGATCCTCTAGCGTAGACATGGCGAGTGACTCACCCGCTATGTTCTGTCACTAGATTGGACTTGGAATATTTGAACAGAATCTGTGAATGATGACAGTAGCATGGCTGCGAAACTCCGAAGTGGGCCCGCCATATTAATGTCCCTATCCCTCGGCATTCTGCGCGGGGAACCAGTAGACATGACAAAGAATTTGGCCGATTGCTTTTTGAAACTGGCGCTGTAGGCCGTGTTCATAGCCGATTTGCACAGTGCCGTCACAAAAATCGTCTATGCCGGTAACTCTCCAACTATATTTGTAGACCAGCATGGATGGCGGTTGTAGAATCTAGCCTTGTGATGAATCTTTTTCTCCAGAATGTCCTCTATTCCTCAACTGAGATGAGAGGTGTACTCATAAAAATAGCACAAAGGCACGAGGTGTCACAATTGGCTGTACGAAATAGGACAAATCGCATTGAAATGGCTGGAGGAGTCAAGCCAGAATTTTGGCTGGAGATATCGGAAGTATGTTTTCTTGTCGAACGACATGAGAAAAACTCAAGGATTCCCCGTATTGGAGGACATCTCGAACAGTTTGATTTCGCCTCGCTAGATATAGCTTTCGGATATCATCCCGGCTATATCTCAGCCCCAGTAAATTCTAGCTCTCGTTCTGGTTCGGTGACATGGATTGCATAAATCACGTCTCAGCTGATTCCCAGTCAGTCTCGGCGACATACCAACAAGAAACCTTTAGCAAGAGAGATATGGCGCAACTGCCAAGAAGTCCAGAAAACTTAAACTGCTTGGGGTCGGAAATCCAGATAAAGAGGATTGAAAAGACGAAAATAGATCAGGTCGGAGTTTTGAGTGACAGATCTAATTGAGTGGCACTACAGCAGATGCATTGGATGGATGTTGACGTAAAATTATACCGGGAGTGCCAAAAGGAAGCTGAAAAAGCCTTGGGTTGTAAATCTAGCGTTCATTCCGCAATATAGTTGAAAGGCGAAGCTCGATATCGTTATCGCGCTCTCCAACCTTTTCCACCATTGCAGGGATAGGAAGAATGGAAAAATGATAGACAAAAAATCTAGGTTCCGTAAGATTCCCTGCGTCGGTCATTAAGCAAATATTCTTTGAGGAAGACGTGAGAATGGAAGTTTTGAAAAGTGCTGGAGGCCGTCTCAGTGACTCCGTTGACTCATGTTTGCCCAAGAACACTGTGCGAATTGGTGACGAAGTACATCATAGGGTCCAATAAATGACAGAGATTTACCATCCACCGCAGATATGAAGGTTTGTTGATGAGTTGTATTAGCCCGCTCTTCAGCGACTCTTTCAGCTTTCTCGCGGCTACGACTTCTCCAACCTGTAGATGCGTATGGGCATCGCACCCCCAATAAGTCGTAAAAGTCCACGTCACACACCAGAAATCCCCACGACTACCCCGGGTTGTCCTGTAAGTTTGGAAGTTGAACGTCACGGTCGAAACATTTCAAATTTGTGATGGGAGATGGACATGAGATTCCCCTCCAGCTCAAAGACGGCTCTTTGGACAAGTCAGGTCCAAGAAATTGTTGAAATAAGAACCCTTAGAGAATTTCCCGGCTCAAGAGGTGTAGGGTTCGCGTTTCCCCCTTCCCATCCAGACCAACATATATAACCTCTCCAGCCATTCACGGGGGGCCTTCTTTTGGTGCATTCATTCCTCCGGCACTCATCTCGTAGGTTCTTTGCGTGAACCTTGTCATTCCACTCAGTTGGTCATTTTGGCCCAGTGGGTGGGGGGAGGAGAGAAGAAGAAAAAAGGACAAGGGAAGTGGGGGGATAGTACGAATAAAGAGAGAGGGGAAATGGAAAGAAAACAAAATACACGGTTGGAAGGGCAGAGTCTTATATGACTTTTATGTACTTCTGGAAGGTTCCAACCTAGAGATGAACGACTATCCTGAGTGAGTCGCGCCAAACAGCGCGTTTCACAAACAGCGTCCAAATGGATTTACACGTGAAAGAATTAACTTCATGAACGTTATATTATAAACTAAATGCGACGTTGAGCCACGGCCTTTTTTTTTTAGAACGCGCTCAAACCTTCTCAATATACTGCGATCTCTCGTTTTTCTCGAGATCACCGCCATTGCCCGACATACGCTCAAGGAACGAAGTCAAACCAACATCGCGCTGCGCTTCGCGGAGAAGTTCAGCATCCTGCTCGCCGGCATTGCTCTTGAAAACACGATCCATATCTTCCAGAGATGCGCCCTTAGTTTCAGGCAGGAAGATCCAAACCCAGACGATACCACAGGCGAGGAAACCAGCAAAGAAGATATAGGTACCCCATTCCCAGTTCTGCAGCATAGGGGGAACGAAGAAGGCAATAGCGAAATTGTTGATCCAGTTGCTGAACGCGCCGATGGAGGCACCCTTCGCGCGAATGGAAAGCGGGAAGATCTCTGATACGAGGGTCCATGAGACAGGGCCCCAGGTAGCGCCGAAGCCTGCAATATACAGCCAGATCAAAGCTAGAACAGGTAAGTGAGTGATTGGAATAATGGTTTTTATATGCAAGTTTGGTACTCACCAACTGCGGTCCAGCCGGCTGCTACATGGTTAGGCCAGTCGTGTTTGAACTTGGCCACAATCACGCCGACGATGACCATGCTAGCAAGCATAACGAGTGATCCACCCAGGAGCATGGGCTTGCGGCCAAACTTGTCAATAACCAACATTCCGGGGATGGTACTGATCAAGAAGACAACACCGGTCACACCGGTTGCCAGAAGAGCAATGGTACCGCCAGTAAGTCCGAGACTGACGAACACATTGGAGGCGTAGTAAATAACTAATGGGTAATGGTTAGCCAGACATTCCCAATATCTCTCAAACATGTCAACTTACTGGCATCGACACCGCTCCACTGCTGGAAGAACATAACCAACCAGGCAATGCAAACACGCTTGAAGTTATCCATCGAGCGGAAGCAGTTGGTATACTGCGCGATCTGGTTCATGAAGACACTCTTCTTCTCTTTATCAGCAAGTCTAGGCGAGGCCTTAGCAAACGCCCGCTCCTCAAAGACAGCCTCAGCCTTAATCTCAAGGTACTCCATCTGCACAAGCTCATGGTCAACAGTGAGCTTCCGCATCCAAGCAATGGTATCTTGCGCCTCCTGGTCGCGGCCCTGCTTAACCAGCCAGCGGGGCGAGAAAGGCATAAACCAAATGCCACAAGCAAGTGCAACAGCAGGAATACCCTGAATGATAGAAGGTAAACGCCAAGCAAGATCACTCTGAGTAGCTCCCGTACCGCCGATATTGTTGCTACCATATCCAACCCAGAACGAAATCATGATTCCGAGAATAGTAGCGAACTGGTAGAACGAGACGAGCAGACCACGCATTTCAGGTGCCGCCAGTTCGGCGTTATAGAGAGGCCCCACACCACTGAACAAGCCGACGCCAAGGCCGGTGAAGAATCGGCCCGCGTACAGCAGGGACGGGTTGCCGGCAGTCGCGCCGATGTACAGATAGCTACCGAGGATGACCCAGCAGCAGGCGAAGAACATTGTGTATTTGCGGGAGTAGACTTCTCCCAGGATTCCGGCTGATAGGGAGCCGACGATACCGCCCAATTGGAGGACGGAAGTTAGCCAGCCTGTTGCGGTGGAGGAGGCTACTACTGTTGGGAAGTTCTCTGTGAAGCGGGTCATGACCAGGGACTGGCCGAGGACACCTTGTTGGTAGCCATACTCAAAGCCACCGAATCTGGGGCGGTATTAGAATTGAGTTCCAGGATTTGAAGGGAGGGAAGTTCTTACGAAGCGAAGAAGGCAATGGCTAGCACTTTAGGGTTTTCGAAAATAGACTGCCACATGGATTTCTTCGCGAGTTGAACTCGTGGGGTGGATTCCACCTCACTGGATGATCGGATTGTCATGTTGGGCAATATTGGAGAAGGGCAATTTCCAAAGTAGCGCTAGGAGATGAAATCTGGGGAATTCAAAACATGGGGGAAAGAGGGTCTCAATATATACGCCCATTTTTGGTTGCATTGAATGGAGTTGGTTTAATTCTGTCATAGTCCGAGTGGCACCACGTGAAAAGCAGAAAAAAAAGGCTCAAACCCCATAGAACTTCTCCAGTTTCTCAGACTTTTCATGGGCTAATATCCCCCGGATCCCCAAATTTCGGCGTTATGTGGAGGCAAAATAGTGGAGAAACTGGCCCGCTAAACCCTTTTGGGGGTACGTAGCCTCCAATCTCCCAGAATGGCCCCGACGGTGGAGACGGGAAAGAAGTGGGCATCTCGGGTTGAATCGGTTTCCTGTTTTGTCTTTCGGGCCCTGCACGGCCTAGGCCGACTTGGGCTATAACTCGGTCTCGGGTAAAACCTAAGTGTGGAGGTGTGACCCGTTCCGTTTGGGGAAAACAGAGCCACTGTGCTCGCTTAGGAGGTTGAGTTTATTGACATCAAAACATCCATGGATGCTCTTAGTGTTCAAGATGGTGATGAAAAACACTCATTCTCGGGGTACTCTGTCCAAGTAGTAATCGGACCATTAAATTGAGTTGATAGGTGCTCTTCGAGATATACAATAGACATACTGAATATCATTTCCTCATTGGCTCTGCAAAGCATTGGTCCACATCGATCTGCTATGCAGCTAATGCTCCCTTTTCGTCACAAACGGCCTTGCGGTACGGACTACCCCGCGTCCGGATAAACACTACGCCATAATGGAGACTGATTGGTTTACGGCTGAATTCATGCCGTGTCTGATAGCTCTAGTTGGCGATGTGAAGCTTTGGGCTTGGCTGCTGGGAGATATTATTAACCTATCTAGATCATCGCAATGATATGCAATGACAGAATCCCGATAAAACCCCACATACAGCCAGTAGCTTGCAGCCCCAAGCGACACCTCACGCCGTCGCGATTCTGCAAGACGCAAATCTGAGCATCATTCCAGTCTACCCGGGAGCAACATGGCCGCTGATCAACACGCGCAGCCGCTTCCAGGCATAGGACGTGATACACGCCGTGCTGCCCTGGGAGGGGACACTAGCGCCGGCGAATGAAACATTGGAACCCGATGGCAACTATCTGGCTTCGGGCGGCTTTCAAGCAAGGCTTCCCGACAAGCCGACCGGCGAACTCACCTTTGGTACCGAACTAGATGGTGCAAATGGTCCACAAGTATCCGGAGCAGGTATCCATCTACCCCGCAGGGGCACTGATTGATATCGCGCTTGCGATGCCTATGGATCCGCAGTTTGCGTCACTTGCCAAGGATCTCGTGATTATGGGTGGATATTTTGATCTGCATCTCCGGCTGAATCAAGTCGGATGTGAGCCATTCCGTTGTGGTTTTATTGCCAATATCAATGCTTCAATACATCAATGAACATCATGGTAGATGCGGAAGGAATCCTCCAAAATCAACCTAACAGTTGGACTTGGATATTTTATATGGCAGCCGGAACTTCAGAAAGTGAATTGTGTGTTTGAAGTCGATGTTAAGAACCCCGAACACGGATTTCAAGTAGGACCGGTCGGTTAGATTTTGTTGGGCAGATCTTGTTTTGGGTTGCAAGTACTTTGGACTGACTGAAATCTCGAGCGGGGGCCTTGGATTGGTGAGTAGATCGTTTGCAATGTATGCCACTGATTCCATCCTTGTGTGACCTCTTTGTCGCATGTTGTTTGCCAGTCGCTGACCTGCAGTTTGAACAGAGTAGTGTCACGGTCTCGTCGGAGCAAATTCAAGATACCGAACCGAAACAGAATTGGAACTGTACCATTTGAGCCTAACCACTCAAATTACACCCGAGATCTCCCCCGGTTCGTACCCCCAAGCTCTCTCAAGATCCTTGAGTCGCCACAAAGCACCCCACCCAGTCGTGCGCTCAATAATCTTAAACAGCTTGGCAACCTCAACATGCTCACTATGGTGGCTGAGTAACTTCCCGGCAATGTAAAGCGGCTGAATAGCATTGATCAGATTCCCGCTATGAGGATTCGTCAACGAAATCCCACACACCCTGCGAGCATGCCAAATAGCCGAAAAGTGTGGCTTTGAAGGAGGCGGTCCCCTCTCAACGGGCCTCATATCAAGCATCATAATAGAAGCAGCATGATACAACTGGTTGCCAGAAATAGCCGCCCAATGTGCAAACAGAATCTCGGGAAAAGTCTGTCCGCTGCCCATCCCCGTAGTCTTAATAGGCAGCATAGCAGGTGGGCGCTGTTCAAGCCAATACTGCAGCTCCTCCCAAAGTCGGCTCCACTGTTCTGAGAACGGGCGCGTATCATCAGACGCTTCACCCAATTCCAAGAACCGCGTTCGGCGACAACAGAGATCGCAAGCCTTTGCGCATAGATAAACCGCCCAATTAGCGTGCATATCAGGGGATGCACGGCCTTTCTCGCAAAACGCGTCGCGGATGATATCCTCCTGCGCCTCCTTCGACGAAGCCTGGGGCATAGCGGGGACCCATTTCTGCAGCGGGAGGACTGTACTTTCAACGCCGTTAGAGATTATCGCGCCGCACAGCTCCATGCGTGCATAACACCAGAACACGGCTTGCAGATGTCCTCCCGAAAGTCCGTTCACGTTGAACGAGTCGAAGAGCGCGGCGCAGCCCTCAACGTGCCGTCGCCAGTCGCGCGGGCTGACGGACATTAGTTCCATCACAGCCAGGATGCATACTGTCACGAGGACGTTGGGGTCCTTTGCTTGGAGCAATGGTGCCAGGAGGCGGATAGACTCTTGGTACAGCTCAAGACTGTCGTAGGCTTTGTCCAGGCAGGCCTTTCGCTCTGTTTGCCGAGCGGAGAAAGCGAGGATTGCGTAGAACAAGGCTGGTGAGCCTTGCGCTAGGATTGGGATGTGGACACCAAAATGGCGCGCCTCGTCAAATTTATCTAGATAGGGCGCGCATTCTGTGATCCAGTTTTTCAGATAGAAGATTAATCTGATTTTTGGGATTGAGATGACCCGCGTGAAGTCTAGGCTTTGGCGTGGGAGTCGAGGCTGAGGTCCCTCTGTTGGTTCTAGGGGAGCTGGGGTTGTGTAGTTTGCTGGTTCGAGGCTTGCTACTGCGGGAAAAAAGTACGCAGCGGAGTTCTTCTTGTAATTCAAGGAATCTGGGGTTGGCGGCGTAGTCGTCTGCGCTGGAGAATGTTCCGGGCGATAAGAAGGCCTCTTCTTCGATAAGCGGGGTGGCGCTGTTGAAGGTGTCTGGCATTCTTGATTCAGGACGTAATGGGGGGACTGGTTCCTCCATGTTAAGTCTTCATTGGCAGAGTCCGGCGTGTTTGATAGTCTGGGGGTTTCCGGGGTAGAAGGAGGAAGAAAAAGGGCGGACACGATCGGGAATGTCCGAAGAAAAATGCCTGGCTTGGGAAGCTCAGGATGGATGTCGAAGCCACTTAGTCACGGAAACATTCGACTCCAATTTATTTAAAGAGACAATTTTATGCAGATGGTTCTTCTAATTTCTTCCATTTTTATTCAAAGGGAGGCCGCATGATATATATTTTGTTTTGGGGTGCAGCTATATATCTGAATTGGGTGCAGACCTTACAACACATTTCTAACCTCATTATAAACGCAGACCCTCCCATGCTAAAGAAGTGTATGAAATTGAGCCAGCTTTATTACTACCTTTTCCCTAATAATCCTTTTAATCATGAACAGGTAGTTATAACCTCATCGCCTTTCAAGAGATATTCGGATAGACTTTGTTCCTTGCCACACTAGCACTTTCCAGCTTTTCCAGCAGAGTCTTAGCCAGCCGCTCGATACGAAGTCTAAAGAATATCTCTGGGTCATGATCACCAAGATCAAGTCCCAACGGACCCGCCACCTGCTTCAGATGAACAGACCGTGTACATTCGATCTTCCAGTCCCGTGCAAATTGTTGGATCATAGTGTAAAACTCAGGAGCCGTAACATCTCCGTGGTCAATCCCGGCCTTTCGTACCTGATCCTCCGCTCCGTCTGGCGCGTAGCGGCGCATCAGTTTTAGCAGTTCTCCAATCGATCGTGAGATATATAGGTCGGCGCTGGCATGGACGACACCCGTTGTTCCTTGAGCAACATGAGCCAGGCAGGTCCTCGCCACGAGATCAACTGGGATCTCATTGCAGGCTGCTTGTGAAGGGAGGTTGAGCTCAAGCTTCAAAGGCCCATACTCCGAGTCTCCTAAGAGTATCTGGAGGAAGGAATGTACAGGTATGGCACCATCGCTACCGTAGAGTGGGTAGGGTTCAGCAATAGCTGGCGATATGAGGCAGGGCCGCACAATGAGGACAGAGAATTTGTGGTCACCACCCAGAAGCAAGCATTCTGCCAAGTGTTTGGCCAATGCATAGGGAGCCGCAAATTGTTTTGTATAAGATGATTTCCCTGTGACGAGAATTGTCCTTAGTTCCTCTACTGGGTCTTTGTATAGAGGGTAGATTTGCTCTCTGACAACGCCATCGGGAAGAAAGCTGGAGATATATGTAGTTGATATGTGTAGGAAGCACTGCAACTGTATGAAACCGTCTATTAGAGAAGCCAGTGTTAGATGACCGGTGCAGTTGATTGGTATAGTCTCTGCGAGGTCTCGAGATAAAGCAATGTCGCCAGCAGCATTGATCACTACCGTGGTCTCGTTTTGTATGCGTGATAGGTGGTCAGGTGAGAGACCGAGATTAGGCTGGGTCATGTCACCGAGGAAGAATTGGATTTTACAAGTGGCGATAATTTCCTCCACTTGCTCTGGCATCGATTGCTCCCATGATTCAATGGCCTTTTGGACGGATCCTCTCACCAGGACGAATATTTTGGCAGTTGGAAGTTGAATGGCTAGCTTGTATAAGAGACAGCCGCCAAGATTCCCAGTTGCCCCTGTAAGGAAGACGACTTGTCCTCGAAACCATTCGCTGGTCATCATAATTGATAGTTGTCTGCTGGCCCCGGGTCAAAATCCCAGGGTGTTTTCACAGCAAGGAATGTGCCTGGACTAAGGAACTTCCCCGGGACAAGTAGAAAATGCACCTGGGTAGATTTCCATTAGACACCTGGATAAAAGTAGTTCTTATATTCAAATATCACCTACAATCACCTCCAATATAATTTATAAACCAAATTCCAATAGCTAGGGATAATATATTATTATCTTACCCTTGGGCCTTATTTTCGGTTAAAGGTGCCGGCAATGTCGACACAGAATCGAGTTGAAGCAAAACATCGAAACCACTGTAATGTGTCTAGTTCCGAATAACGGAAAGGAACGGCCTAATCGGCCTAAAGAATTACAACTCAATGGACATTGGGTTGTAATCGAACATGGCTCAGAGTATCTCTAGGCCGAGTTACCTGTTGCTTGCCGCATCAGGGGTCCAATAGCTAGATGGGGGTGGGTTACGCTGAAAATACGGAGGGTGGGGGATTGCGTTGGACATCCGGAGGGTTGGAAGCTCATTTGAGCCGAGCTTTCCTTCTGATTGTTCTAGCCTTTGTAGGACCAGATCTTAGTGGTGATAGAAAACCACATGATGTACTGATATACGCTATTCTCACGTCGAGCTATGCGCTGTGATGTAAGGTGAAGACCTCCAACAAGGACGTCACCTGCAATGGGCCCGCATATATGTTACTTTGATACATATTATTCGATATATGCTTCGATGTGGCAAGTTAAATCAGGCTAAGAGTTCGGTGACTAGTTGTGTTGCAGTCACACATGCAGTCTAGGTTAGAGTAGTGTTGAACAACATTGAGAAAGTAATGTTTTCCAAGGGCAAACTGGAACTACAAGCGCACTTACTCTCCTTGTAGTGTTCGGTAATACCACCGGGGAGCTATTTAGGTACATACCATTCCTCCGGTAGCGGAGGATATCGGAGGAATGTATTTCTTGCATCTTCCAGAACCAGGACATGTAGGTACATATTGTGTGTAGATTTGGCCTCAACGCCAGTTTAACCTGCAATTCTTCGATAGTCAGAAGGCCATACATTCGGATATCAGAGCTCAAAGCCTAGTTCAACATTTGTTTTGTCTGCTCTGCAGCCATCTTGATCCAGTCTCAAACTATCCATCATTCGACCAAAAATGAAGTCAATAACTGGACAAGGACAATCACCATGCAGAAACCACGAGGAGGAATTTGGGGAGCCAATTGCTGTCATTGGTATGGCAATGCGGCTGCCAGGTGGCGTTCGATCTGGAGATGAATTTTGGCAAATGCTCGTGCAGAAACGAGACGGGTTTTGTGAAGCGCCTCCCTCGCGTTGTTCCAGAGAGGCGTCTAGTAGCTCCGATTGTGGGGGCCTGAGCGAGACGAAAAAAGGGTTCTTTTTGCAAGAAGATCCAGCATATTTTGACGCTTCCTTCTTTTCTGTTCCTCCCCACGAGGCGGCTCGCCTAGACCCACAGCAACGGCTTTTGCTTGAGGTGGTTTGGGAGTGCCTGGAGAACTCGGGGGAGACCAAGTGGCGCGGTGAGAAAATCGGGTGCTTTGTTGGCGTTTTTGGGGAAGACTGGCTAGAGATGTCGCATAAAGACCCCCAGCATATGAGTCAGATATATCCCATCGCCACCGGCGGTTTCGCGCTAGCAAACCAAGTGTCGTATCGGTTTGATCTGCTGGGTCCGAGGTGAGTGCGGTCCGTTGTCTTTATGCCCAAAAGGCAAAGCTCTGACCATTTCAAGCATGACCATCCAAACAGCTTGCTCTTCCTCGCTGGTTTGCCTACATGAGGCCTGCCAAGCACTTAGATCTGGAGAGTGCTCAACAGCTCTAGTAGGCGGGACAAGCCTTATATGGGGTCCAACTATGACTGATGCCATGATCAAGAATATGGTCCTATCGCAAAGTGGTATCTCTCATACCTTCGATGCTGAGGCAGATGGTTATGGTCGTGGTGAAGGGATCAATTGCATATATCTGAAACCATTGCGGGACGCGCTCCGTGACAATGACGCTATCCGCGCTGTCATCCGCTCCACAGTGACCAACCACGACGGCAAGACCCCTAACTTTTCTCAACCATGTCCTGTATCTCAAGAGAAGTTGATCCGGCACGCGTATCAGGTTGCGAGTATCGATGCAGTTCACGAAACACCTGTTTTTGAATGCCATGGGACTGGAACAGCCGTTGGCGATGTCATCGAAGCATCGGTTGTTGCAAAGATGACCCAAGGAGAAGCAACATATATCACTGCGGTTGGTATTCTCTATTCACAGAGCTGTCTACAATAAAACTTATCACTTATGTTGTACATCAGGTCAAACCAAACGTCGGTCACTCTGAGGGTGCCTCAGGCATTACAAGCATTATCAAATCCATCTTATCCCTGGAACACAAGACCATCGCGCCCAATATCCATTTTAAGACGCCAAATCCTCAAATTCCATTCAGTGAGGCAAATCTCCATGTCCCCTTAGAACCAACTCCGTGGCCCGCTGGCAGGCCCGAGAGGATCAGCGTGAATTCGTTTGGTATCGGAGGGTCCAATGCCCACGCTATTCTAGAGTCCACCTCTACAATATCTCTGAAGTCTCGAAACGAATCACCTGAAGCTTTCAATCCACAGCTCTTGGTCCTGTCTGCGCACACTCCAGATACTCTTCGCAAGCGCATTGGCCAAATCACCGACTATGTACAGAATCACACAGTCAGCCTGCATGATCTTTCTTACACTTTGAGTGCGAGAAGATCGCATCTCTCCCACCGGGCCTTCGCCGTGGTACAGTCAAATAAACCTATTCGAGATGATGCGGCATTTTCGATATTTAATACCAGTTCCCCCAATGTTATTTTTGTGTTCACAGGCCAGGGAGCTCAATGGCCCGCAATGGGGCTAAGGCTTTTGTCTAGCTTTCCAATATTCAAGGAGGGTATCAAAAGGATGGATGAAGCACTTCAACAGCTACCTGACCCCCCGCATTGGTCATTATATGGTCAGACCGAAGGCCCTGTCCCTTAATTCGCGAGAATCAGTCGACTAACCTACGTACCTGCTAGATGAGCTAAGCCAAGAGAGTTCAATCTCACGGATCCACGAAGCTGAGTTCTCCCAGCCTCTATGCGTTGCTCTGCAAATTGGCCTGGTGAACATTCTTAGGAGCTGGGGAATCGAGCCATCCACGGTTGTCGGGCATTCCAGCGGAGAGATTGTGGCTGCGTACGCTGCCCGAGCCATTTCGATGAGAACTGCTATTATTATAGCATATTATCGGGGCAAGGTCGCAAAACCACTGGAAGGCTTGGGTGCTATGGTGGCTGTCGGCCTTTCCCCGGACGAAGTGGTACCGTACTTGACGCCTGGAGTGGTTGTCGCCTGCCACAATAGTCCGAATAGTGTCACCCTATCAGGAAATAACGATTCCGTTGACCATGTGATTAAAAGCATCAAGACGGCAAATTCGGATACACTATGTCGGCGACTTACGGTTAAAATTGCTTATCACTCTGGTAAATCGTCCCACTGCGCCCTTATCTGGTGGTCTTGCGCTTACAATATTTGCAGACTATATGAAACAGATCGGCTCTGAATATGAACATTGTATCTCTAGCCATATTGAGCATGAGCAGCAAATGCTTCCTTTCTGTTCTAGTGTGACTGGCGACACGATCACCGAACCTCGCAAACTAGACGCATCATACTGGCGACAGAATCTGGAATCGCCCGTACTGTTCACCGAGGCTATCCAGACTCTACCTACCAGTGGAACCCCAGTCTTCCTAGAAGTTGGGCCACATTCGGCCCTCGCCGCCCCTCTGCGGCAAATCTTCCGGACTCTGCCTGCGAGGTCACCAGTCTATATCCCCACATTATTCAGGTATGACGAGGATGTTCAAAGCCAGCTACTCCGAACAGCGGGACAGACCTATGCCAATGGCATGGGAGTCAATCTGTCAATTATAATCGAGCCGGGGAACATTTTGACAGACCTTCCTCCATATCCTTGGCAGCATGATCGCCCTTACTGGAGTGAGAGTCGACTTAGTAGGGAGTGGAGGCAGCGTAAGTTTCCACATCATGAAATCCTCGGCTCCCGGGTCGTCGATACGACAGATCATGAGCCTTCTTGGCGCAATTTAGTCACGTTCGACAATGTGCCGTGGCTTCTAGATCATGTAATTCAAGGGGCCGTTACATTCCCTGGTGCTGGATTTGTCGCTATGGCAGGCGAGGGGGTCCAGCAGCTGCATCCCGACCACGATAGTTATTCAGTGCGTAATACGACCTTTATAACGCCACTGATATTCCACGAGGGAGACCAAATCGAGATGGTCACTAGTCTCAGTCCGGTCGAAGTAGCTGACAGAATCTCATCCGGTTGGTACGATTTCAAAATCATGATCCATGATGGAGAACGATGGACATTGCATTGCCAAGGTCAAGTAAGGGCTGGATCCGATCATCCCCCGGAGCCATTCTCAATCTCTTCCTATAAGCGATATGTGCCATCTGAGAGTTTATACCGCGTGCTACAAAGGAGCGGAATAGATTACGGTACTCAGTTCCAGGGTTTAGAGCAGATTACAGCTGATCCCACCGGGCCGAGGGCAACTGCGACTGTTCTCGGTAACCGTGGGTTGCCTGGGAGCAGGTATGCGCTACATCCCACGGCAATTGATCAATGTCTGCAACTTATGGGTGTGGCCTCCTCCCATGGCTTGCTACGGCATCTCACAACTATTTACGTTCCGGCCATGATAGATTACTTGTTCGTTGGACCTGGGGTCCCACCTATGCTGGCAAGCGCCCGAACCAAGAGCGGCACAAGAGATGGTCAACTTGGCGATGCCATTGCGATTGTTGGTGATCACGTAGTGCTCTCTATTCAGGGAGCTTACCTATTCGCGTTGGAAAATGATAATATAAATTCTAGGACTGGACTTGCGGGCTCGGTAAGCCATCTTGAGTGGAAACCGGACATTGATTTCTTGCCCTCAACAGCACTTCTGTCCACACCACAAGATTATACTTCACAGGCCATGAATATTAAAGCCTTGGGCCAGCTATCCACGCTTTTTATCCTGGAGACGGCAGACCAAATTCGAGATCTCGACCCAACATCATCACATTTCACAAAATGGAAGAAATTCATCCTGGACGCAACAGTCAATTTAAAAACAAGTGGACGACAGTCCATCTATCCAGAGTCGCCTCAGGGGGCATTACTAAGGTCTGCAGAGAGACAGGAAATGATACGGAACGTGTTAATCGAGACCAAATTTACCTTTGATGCTCCACTTGCTGATTGTCTACGGGTCGTCTTCGATAACTGCACAGCATTTATATCTGGAGAAAGCAGCCCATTGGAGGTCCTCATGAAGGACAACCTACTACACCACTTCCATGCTGCGCATACACAATATGCCGATTGGAATCCGTTCCTCCCGTTGCTTTGCCATTCCAACCCGGGCTTAAGAATACTTGAGATCGGTGCAGGTACCGGCTCAGCAACCGCGATGGCGCTAAAGCTTCTCAAATCCACTAGTGGGGAGCGTATGTATAGTCAGTATGTTTTTACTGATATATCCTCGGGCTTTATGGCTGCAGCAATAGAGCGATTCGGTAATGAGCAGGGCATGGAATACAAAGTCCTTGATATTACTCTAGACCCCCTTGATCAAGGATTCGATGCTCATAGCTTTGATTTGATTATCGCTTCCAATGTGAGTTTTGATTACAATGCCTCATTCCAACGACGTTCAACTCATTTACTCGCCTTCTACACTAGGTTCTCCACGCTACACCCAGTCTTCACACCGCGCTCTGTCATGTGCATCGCCTCCTCAAGCCCACTGGTTACTTTTTACTTCATGAGATTAGCCCAGGTACGTCAACCTCCTCAAGGTTGGACGACTGAACTGACTAGGATACAGAAATCTTAATTGCAAATTTCACGATGGTAGGTACCAGGCTTCTCTAGTTCTAATATTTGGTTGCTTATATATTTTATAGGGTGTATTTCCCGGCTGGTGGCTAGGAGAGGACGATGGCCGATCAGACCAGCCGTACATCTCACCTGAGCGATGGGATCAGGAGTTACAAGCTGCAGGCTTCACTGGAGCAGATGTAACGGCATATGATCAAAAACCGCCTTACCATATATCCGCGAGCATGTTGTCACGACCGGTGGACAAGATCTCCATTCCTAAAGATATATTGCTGCTAACATGCAATTATACTCGGTGCCAGTGGGCGAGTGATGTTGAATCGTTGTTCCGCGACGAAGGCTACACCACTAACTGGATTACTTTGCACGAAACACCACCCAAAGGCAAATTCATCTTATCTCTGCTAGATCTTGAAGGCTCCCCGATAGGTTCCCTGCCGAAGCATAACTATGAGGTATTCCAACACTACATAGAGCAAGTGCAAGAATGTCAAATATTGTGGGTCACGCAGTCAACCTCCCACACATGCTCAGATCCAATGTTTGGCTTCATCCATGGGCTTGGTCGCACTTTACGGGCGGAGCTGTTGCTTGATCTCTCAATTCTGGAGGTTCCCACATGGGACACGGCAAGTGCAAAGGCCGTAATCCAGGTTTGGGAGAAGATCCAAAGATCCCGGGCTCACTCCCTTCCAGATCCAGAGTATGAATTTGCATTGCATGAAGGCGACATTAAGGTCGGGCGGTACCATTGGACACCTCTCGTCGAGCAACTCGCAAGTCCGCCTCGTGCAGATGCATCCCGAAAGCTGACTCTCACGACATATGGGCTATTGGATACACTACACTGGGCGGAGAAAGAGACGTCCTATGAGTTAAATGAGGGACAAGTTGAAGTTGAGATGGACTACGCAGGACTGAATTTTAAAGTAGGGTTTCCTTGTTCCAAGCTGATATTGCATAGTTTGTTGATCAATATATCTAGGACATGATGGTTGCAATGGGATTCTTCGGAAATAAAGAAGACCTCGGACTCGAAGGCAGCGGTATTGTGCTTCAAGTTGGACCTGGTGTGACAGATATCACGGTGGGAGACCGTGTCGTCTTGATGCATTCTGGAGTTCTGGCCTCAAACGTTGTTATCCCTCAAGAAGCTTGTATAAAGCTACCACAAGGGTTGTCAATGGCAGATGCTGCGACGATGTTAACAGCTTATGTCACTGTTCTCTACTCACTGCTTGAGGTTGGTGCTTTGAAGAAAGGCCAGGTGAGTCACTATTTTCTTCTTCGGCTATTTATGGCAACTAACGTGAAGAAAGTCCGTTCTCATTCACTCCGCGTGTGGCGGAGTCGGATTAGCTGCCCTCCAAGTATGCCAGGCTGTTGGTACCAAGGTCAGCGAAGCTTTCTGTGGTTGATATAATTATTCCAAGCTAATGATCAATCAATATAGATCTATGCCACAGTCGGCAACGATAAAAAAGTAGCCCATTTGATGGAACATTTTGGTTTACCTCGAGAACGGATCTTCAACTCTCGGAACACGTCCTTCCAACCGGACCTGATGCGTGCCACTGCTGGAAGGGGAGTTGATGTGGTGCTCAATTCACTGTCGGGTAACTTACTACACGCGTCATGGGAGTGCGTTGCGAAGTTCGGGCGGATGGTTGAACTGGGAAAACGCGACTTCATAAGTCATGGCATGCTTAATATGAGCCTTTTCGAAGCAAACCGGGCGTTTTTTGGCGTTGACCTCGCTCAGGTTTGCAAGGAGACTCCAGAGATTCTCAAAAGGTTTGTCCTAAGTTGACCGCCAGGGAAAAAGAGCTAATTAACACATTTACAGCACGCTGGCAACATTTTCAGACTGGTATCGCCAAGGGAAAATCGGACCTATCCAGCCTGTCAAAGTCTTTGACGCAATCGATATTGTCAGTGCATTTAGGTATATGCAGGCCGGCACTCACCTAGGTAAGATATTGGTGCGTATGCCATCTTCTGTGGAGAGCTTGGTCCCTCCTATTATGAAAGCATTTCCCACATTCCGATCCGACGCCGCGTATCTGCTCATTGGTGGGCTCGGCGGTATTGGGCGATCCGTGTCAACTTGGATGGTCGAGCAGAATGCACGAGAGCTCATCTTCCTCTCGCGCTCAGCTGGCAAATCCGAGCAAGATCAAGCATTTATTCAGGAACTCGAGGCACAAGGTTGTCAGGTTACCTGTGTGACAGGCAATGTGACGAATCTCAGGGATGTAAAGGAGGCTGTTGCCGCATGCAAGCGGCCCCTTACTGGTATTCTCCAGATGGCAGTTGACTTGAATGTAGGATTTTCTCTCCCTTTCTCACTCTGACGCCTTGCCAAACACTCCAGTTTCTGACATCTTATAGGATCGGCTCTTCCTGCAGATGAGCCACGAGGAGTGGGAGACCGCACTAGCACCGAAAGTTGCCGGAACCTGGAACTTGCATCATGCCACATTGCAACACTCGCTCGATTTCTTCGTCGTGTTTGGCTCAATTGCTGGGGTATGTGGTAACACTGGCCAGGCCAATTATGCCGCAGCAACTACATTTTTGGAGGCATTTACCCGGTATCGACGACAGGAGGGACTTCCATCTTCTATCTTGCACCTCGGAGTGGTTGGAGATGTGGGTGCCGCAAGTCGCAACTCCCGATTCCTCCAGAGAGTACAATCAATTGCGTTGCATGTGCTCCATGAAGCCGAAGTGATTGACGGATTAGCTGCAGCGATCAAAATATCCCCAGTTAGTTCTAATGTAACCGGGGCAATGGCAATGGGACTCACACACACGAGGCGCCGCGCGGATCTCCCCAAGGAAATCTTCCTCGGTGGACGCGACGCTCGATTTGCAATTTATCCCAATCTCGAGTCTACCAGTGCTGGCGTTGGCGGTGATCAATCCTCTCAGGCAAATGCGCTAAAGGCTCTCCTTGCTGCGATACAAGCAGATCCCTCTCTAACAAGCAAAAAGGAGACCGAGGTCGCCTTGATGAAGGAACTGGGCAGCTTTATCAACCACAATCTGACAGGGCAGGATCAGGAGCAAGGACAAGATTCTGCAGATGATATTGAGGCACTGGCCGGTATGGCAGTGGACTCCCTCATGGCCATAGAGGTTAGGAATTGGCTACGGAGGTCGCTGGGGGTGGAGATTCCTACGGTGGAAATCAACCGCGCAGGCACATTAGGTGGTTTGGTAAAGGTCGTTTTGAAGGGACTTGGGGAAAAATACGATCAGCGTGCTACCTAAGAAGTTGCTGCAGGTCAGTTGCAATTAGATAGCTAGACAGGATTTGAATATATAACCATGCCAAATAGTTCGAAATTGGTCTTTTAGTCACGACAGCCCTAAACAAGTATGGATTTGATTGGCTCTGTAAGGCGCACTTCAAACCCAGCGCCTAGCAGTTATATGGAACTACCTAAATTTGTATAGGGTCAAAAGCGGGAACCAGAGGACTTTGATTACTGGTGTAATAGCAATTTAGGTATTTTAATTTTTGTGCCTTTCTAATATGAGGCTTCTAGGCATCAACCCCTTCCTAAAGGGGAAGGGGGTTTTGAAGCCTCAGCCTTATATCCCTGCGTAAGGCGAGTCCGGTAAGCAAATGCCGGTTGAAATAGTTCCCGAGATCCTTATCTCTGGAAAAAGCTGTCAAATCACCTTCCGGATTTGATTGGTCGGTGAAGTAAATTTTTAGTGCCAAGCCCATATAAGAGGATCCCGCGGGATTTGTTCGGGTCTTTCACGGTCTTTGGATAGTGTTCGAAACGAGTATTCGTTCCCACTCAGTACCAATTATCCAGTGGAATTTTGAGCCTGTGAGGATTTAGTCAAATTCTCATATGGAGAACTCGAGGGAATTTATGTCTAGAAAAATAGAGAAGACTAGTCTACTCTTCAATTAGAACACCCAAGCACAATGACTATAAAAGGACCCACAAAAGCATTTCAACGCCTGATGTTGAAGATTCGGTGTCTCCACATCCATGGAAGAAAAAAAAATTACCTAGAAAGCCGGGAACTTGAAAGATCCCGGTTTGCCCAAAGAATCCCGGTTTACCCAATGCATTGAACCAAGGAGCTCTTTTTGATATAGTCCATTACTGCACCGGCCGCATGATATGTTTATAGTTCTATGAACCCTTGTGATCCTCGCCATCTGATCACCTGTCTCTGTGAAAGTCACTCCTTCTATCGGGATCATCCAATCCCCAAACTTGATAGAAGATGGGGTCTGATGGTATAGAAGTTCAGGTTGAGAAGGAAGAACCAGAGGGGCGTGATTTGCTCATTGATTTCGAACATCCCAATGATCCTCGAATTCCCCAAAACTGGCCGCTGGCCAAGAAAATTCTTGTAGTCGTCATGTTATCCGTGTTCAATCTCATCGGAACAATCAGCAGCAGCATCATGAGCCCTGCGCATACGAGGGTCGCCGAGCAATTTGGGGCTAGCAGAGAGGTAGCGATTCTGTGCACTACCTTGTTTATGGCGGTAAGTGCCGGATTTCTATGTCATTTTTACCTTAACTGTCCTTATCTAACACCTCTAAAGGGATACATCTTCGGGTTTCTCACATTCGGCCCACTTTCAGAAAAGTTTGGCCGGAAATGGCCTTTGATTGGTGGCATCGCAATCTCCTCCATTCTGGAACTTATGCCTGCACTTGGCACAAATATACAAACTATTGTCATTGGTCGATTGTTTGCTGGGTTTTTTGGAGTCTCTCCAGTGGCGGTCATGGGAGGCATCACAAGCGACTGTTTTACGCTAGCTCACCGCGGTATCGCAATGCCTATCGTGATTTGCTTGTTCTTTTCTGGCCCGACATTTGGACCGATAGTTGGGAGTGCTATTGTCGGATCGTCACTTAGTTGGCGCTGGAATATCTGGGTAATGTTAATCTCTGGGCTGGGAGTTTGCGTTATAGCAGCCTTAGTCTTTCCAGAGACATACCCCCCGGCTATTCTTCGAAAGGAAGCCCAAGTACTACGCAAAAAATATAAGAATCATGCCATTCGCTCAGCGCTGGAAAAAGAGCACTCTGGCGTTCATGACTTTGTACGGATATACCTCCTACGGCCTTTCTGTACGTCTTAACTAATACCTCCTCCTGCGCCTTTTTCGATGCTGATTGTTTCTTTTCCAATTGATAGGGCTCTTCTCTACTCAGCCCATCCTCGCTCTTTTGACCCTGTATCAGTCCTTTCTCTACGGTGTTCTTTTTCTCTTTTATCAGGCTTATCCCTATTACTTTGGAGAGATCCGTGGTTGGAATACCACTGTCGACACTCTGCCTCTTCTTGGGATAATCACTGGCGTTTTTATTGGCACTTTGGGGATTATAATTTACAACCAGGTATACTTCAGACACCACTGCTATACTTCTGATGGCAGTTTCATCCCAGAAGCTCGGTTACCACCAATGATCTTTGGCGGAGTGCTCATCCCCATTGGAATATTCTGGTTTGCTTGGACAGCACAACCAAATATCCCATGGCCGAGTCCCCTCTGTGCGGGTCTTTTAATGGGTTGTGGTATGTACTTGGTCTTTATTCAGGGTTTTATTTACATTGTGGATTGCTATACAACAATGGCAAACAGTGCAATGGGAATCAACGGGTCGATGCGCAGCATATTCGGGGCTGCATTTCCTCTCTTTGCCACTCAGATGTTTGAGAAGCTTGGTGTCCCCCGTTCTACAACAATTCTGGCTGCCGTGACTGTCTGTCTAATCCCAGTGCCTGTATGCTTCTGGTACTGGGGTGATCGCATCCGAGCACGGTCCTCTGCCAAAGTATCTTCGGGGTAGAATAGTGTTTCAGATTTTCGATTTGATTATTTTATAGCTTTCAGCATCGTCAAATTAATCCAGGGTGCTCTTTTTGAAATGTTCTCTCCTTCACCGCGACGATATACTCCCTGGGCTCCAACGCCCTCTTTGTCTGCCTGTCTGCTGTACATGCTCCCGAGAGAGACAATCGTATGCTTAGTCCAGTGGTATATTCTCCAATATAGCGATGTTGGCCCTATTTGGTGTTCTCGTCCAGTAGTTCCACGGCCTTTCTCCTATTGCTATGATCTGTGAGGTGGGGTGCACTCTTTGAGATGAGCTGAGACCGTGGGATTGCTTTCTCTCCAATGTAACACATGAACTGCAATATACCAACGCCGATAGGATCTAAGCTTGTACGCCAGCTTGTACGCCATGTTTCAGAAATAGCATTTCGTACCTGTGGGTAGCGAGTATTATCTGTAAAGTCCCAACTCGCGAGTGTTTCTTTGTCCTTGTCTGTTCAATGCAGGGGATAAATGTAATGTGAAATCGATATATTGGTGAAAAGAAGGTAGGATGCTGCCTGTTGATAGCCAAAGGCAACCAGCTGAGCTCTCCCTATACCCTTCGGCTATCTTTCGATCATGTATCAGACCCTTTGCCGCGAGCTTCTCAAAAAGAGTAATCGCTTCGTCAGCTTCCATCCGCCAAATGTATCTCTCTGTGTTGTAAAGCCTTGTGGCACTCAACTAAAACAAAAGGGTGCCGATATCGCTGGCTGGAAAGTGCTTGAAATATTGACCTGGTACCCTGTCAAACCCCTATATCGAAATCATCTGCACTATCGACGACATATAGCCACAGCCCAGCTTCCCTTGACCGACGAACGAGCTCCATGCTATTTTCGTTATTGACAGAAAATAGACGGGTACGACAATGTATGGTAAATCTGACATATGTAAATTCTCTAACTAACTAAAATGACAAGATCCGCTCTTTTCCAATCTCGGCGGACATAGCTGATTAAGCAATATATGTATTTTTGTATGGTACCGTTATCATGACGGTCCATTGATTTTCCGGTTTGTAAAGACCTGGTAATTTCAGCATGCATAAATGCATAGTACTTGACAGTTATCCCTAACTCTTTGGATGTCAACGTCCCTCACAATACTCGTTCGTACAAGCCCGGTGGAAGCTCGCCTCACTAAACGCCGGCACCCAAAAATTCGAATACTGTGACAGATTATTCTTAACCTGTTAAGCAAACTTTAGGGCGTCTTAGGTTTTTCGATACCCCCCCAAGTCCATATAGGGACATTTTATGGGTGATCTTCTGAAGAAAGAGCTTTTGTTGGAGCTTATCTAGTACGGCCCCACGTCCAATAATAACAGAATTTGCAATAAACGGAATTGTTCGGTGCATTTCTAGTTTATATAGAGCCATTTCAGCTTTTTAAAGGAGGACTGGTCGTAAGGACCTTCATAAACTGAAGCGAATCCGGTTTGCTCTGCTCCCCCCTTGTCGTGAATGTCTTCACAAATCTTTCGATGGCCCTTGAATTTCGGGAGAGATAATTATTCGTATGAGCAGCGATTATGCCATCCTGATCCCAATCCGATGAAGCGATATTCTCTAGACCATGTTCCACATTGAATCTAAAGTACTGACCGCTGTCGCCATATTCAGCGTCCAAGCTAGCCGCTACCTCGTTAGAGGATGTGGCCATCTTCTGTAGTGCTTTGATAATTGACACGCGCGTATCATTCATCGACACCACGCCCCTGTGACCAGTGCCAATACTGAGAATCTGCAGGTCGCTACGTCCAGGGAACGCGTTCCTAGCTTCGGCAATAAGCTTGTCGCATGGGTTGTTATACCCAAATCCGGCATCAATGTACTCGGTCCCTTCTCTACCAAGCTTAATTGGCTTGAAGAAGGTGGGCGCAGCAGAGGTAGCCCGGGCCACTTCCCAGATAGTGCAATCCCTCAGCGAACTTGATTTGTCGTATGTCCGGAAGAGCGTAGGTCTGGCGTCGATATTATCATTCCTAAGAGTAAGAACGACTCTATTACTTGTCAATACTAAGATAAAGCCTTTATTGAAGAAAAACTCACGTTTTTGTGCACGCCTGCTCGCAGAAGAGGAGGTCAGAATGTTTGCACGGAGGTGTAGAGAGCCCATTGCGCCGACGATTCACACATTCTCCGTCTGTGCAGAACTCTCTGACCGTCTCTTTAATGGCCTCTTCAAACAGTTGGGCAGATAAAACTCCATTAAATCGTGCGGGGATAATAGTGTTTCGTTTAGGAATCAAAATACGCTTCGCTACTGTTCTATACACTCGGATACATTCATCGACGGTCATTCCCAGCCGACCGAGCATGATAGCGATGATTCTGATAAGATATTAGTAACGTAAAACCTATACAAAGGTCATATATACACACCCTCCAGTGCTCGTACCCCCAATCAGGTGAAAATGCTCACACGGGCGCGGGACATGGTCAAGATGTTGAACATCGCGGATCCTTTCCATGATTCTTTCTAATATCAATAGACTAGAGATTCCTCGAGCCCCACCACCATCTGGGAATGTCAGGAATCCATTTAGTGCCCGAACAGAATAAGAAAACCAACCAAGTGAGAGGATTCTAAGTGGCTCGGAGGTCTTTGGGCGCATTGTGAGTTCCACGCCCGCTAAAGATCTTGTCGAATATGTGGGGGTTGGACCGGTAATCCCAGAATATCAGTAAATTTGTTAATCGAAAAATTCTTGAGTAATAGCAGGTCCGCTAAGAAATTTACTGCACGTATTTATAGAGTAGAAGGGGTGTTCGACGGTTAAGCGCCAGCTCAATCCGCCCCCGCTCTGTGAAGCCCCTACCACCCAGACGAAACAAGTTAACGCTATGGACTAACTACTTGAGGCTGGTTTACGTTTATTATTAGGTGGTAGAGAGCAATCTATGAGTTTCAAGCTTACGCAGTTCAAGGCGCTTCCGTGAGGCGCCCTATACTTGTGAACAATACTTTGAGATAAAAATATATTTTTGTCTAAATTTCAAAAACTAATATGGAATCACAATGTAACTGGACTTGCGACAGTAAAGTCCCAAAATGTATCCAACCGAATACAGTAATTCATGGCTTTAGAAGCCACTTACCCCAGTTGATTTTGATGTCTAAGAACTCTCGCGAGTAGAATTGGACTTGATGGAGAATATAGGCGCCTAGTATCACCCATAAACCATAGAATCCCTGATAAACAAAAGTGATCTACAGAGACTCGGCACATCATGCAGCCAGGAGCCCCGACCTTATCTAGCAAGGTTACGGTTCGAGGTACGCAGGAGTTCTTTAAGACAATGAAGCATTGCCTAGCATATTGCGGCCGCTATGATCTAGCGGAAGCAAACGGGGAAATTATGGCCGTGCATTTCTTCCAAGTTTTCTCTTTTCCCAACTAGCTTGTAAGCGAGAAGGAGCGCTTGGTCACATTCAATGGCAACAATCTCAAGCTCAATGCGGCGGAGGCGTATCTTGTTGATGTGAGTTCTATCTATCTCGGATTCTCTATAGATATCGAGAATTCTTTGCTATCTCGTCCAAGCTTACATGATGTTTCTATTTTCGGGCCACTATATACGTGGGTCCTTTGTATTGGAAAATTAATAGTCCACCATCTGTCTGTTCTCCATACTGTCGCTAGCTAACTTGTTTTTGTGGCGGTGATACGAGGTTGTTAAATTCAATGCTGTTTTGTTCAAAAGATGAAATTATTGTTTCATTGGACTCTATTTCACTAGCCGTTATCCTAGTTAGCTTCGCTTATATGGAATAGTAGATCAACCAGCTACCCTAGTAGTCGATCTCTAAGGAAAAGAAATAATCTAATAATCTAATAATCTAATAATCTAATAAGAAATAACGGCTATAACTACCTGTTAGGTATATCTACTGACCATATATTAATATTATTACCTAGGCTTTCCATTCATATCCTGTTATGACTAGTCATACCAGTTTGCCGTAATAACCGCTGTAAGAAAGCCATAATCCCAATTCTCTATAGCGTGCCATGCCACGTACTATATATCTGAGCGTAACGCTTAGAGCTCAGATATAGGGGCCTTTTTGGCGTAGCTTGTAACTCGCCAGTCCACGGGCAGGTTATAACAAGCGTGTCTTAGTACCCATGTATACTATCGTACTCCAAACCAAATCGCTTTAAACTCCCTTCTATTCTTTGTAAGTGTCCGCACTTAGCGCCAGGTATTGCAGTCATAGTGGGAGTCGCAAACAGATACCCCTGTAGCTTTAGATCCACATGCATGCACTAGGTTAGTTGGCAAACAGCCTAACTTAGCCATGTCGTGTCACATCATGTACATTTAGTTAACATGCATAAACCAGTACTTTCAGTAGCCAATTAGTGATTTTATAGTACTGTAAATATCATGAACCCAATGGGTCGGGCAGACATCTGGCAATGTATCTAGCCTAGTCCACCCCAGACTCCCTTCATGCCCTTCATAGGCGTCACTTTCTACCTTCTCCCATAACCAAGGCTGCCCTCCCTCTACAAATATACAAATATATAATCAATCTCTTTCTCTGGCATCTTACGGGGAAAATCCTCATTTCTTTCTCCATTTGATAACCGCAATGAATCAACCTACTCATATTATCGATCCAGACGGTGAAGTGATTATCATATTGCGCAATGCAGACCCTCCTTTTGCACAAGCACTTGATCATATGGTGACTGGTGGGACCCTTCCAGAATCCGGTCACTGTCTCCAGGGTCCTGATGAAGCGATTGAACCCCTACCTGAAGCGATTGAACCCCTACCTGAAGTGATTGAACCCCCACAACGCCTTTCGAGGAAGGTAAAGATGAAGAACAAAAAGGGCAAGAAACTGAGGGTCATTCGGACCCCTCCTGCAGAGCCTGCTGTGGAGCCTGAGCCTGAACCAGCACCGATGGAAGAGCCTGAGCCTGCCGAGCCTGAGCCTGAGCTTGCCGAGCCTGCGCCTGAGCCTGCCGAGCCTGAGCCTGAGCTTGCCGAGCCTGCGCCTGAGCCTGCCGAGCCTGAGCCTGAGCCTGCCGAGCCTGAGCCTGAGCCTGCCGAGCCTGAGCCTGAGCCTGCCGAGCCTGCGCCTGAGCCTGCCGAGCCTGAGCCTGAGCCTGCCGAGCCTGAGCCTGAGCCTGCCGAGCCTGAGCCTGAGCCTGCCGAGCCTGAACCTGCTGTCGATGAGGAAATATGCAAACCGCTTGACGGGAATTGTTTCTACATTCAAGTCTCCGCGAAGCATTTGACATTGGCATCTCCGGTGTTTAAAAGAATACTCACGGGTGGCTGGAAAGAAAGCATTGCGTATCTTCAAAAAAGCTCGGTTGAAATTACTGCAGATAGCTGGGACATCGAAGCGTTCTTGGTTGTACTTCATGCTATTCATGCTAAAAACAAGCGCATACCGCAAAAGCTCACCCTTGAGATGCTAGCCAAAGTTGCTGTCATAGCGGATTACTATGAATGCAAGGAATCTCTGTACATCATAACAGACATCTGGTTCAACAGTCTGGAGGAAAGGATTCCTACGACATATTCTCGGGATTTGATCTTGTGGTTGTGGGTTTCTTGGTTTTTCCAGCGCCCTTCCCAGTTCAAAGAATCAACATCGAATGTCATTTCGTGCAGTGAAAATCACATTAGTGGTTGGAAACTTCCCATCCCTGATAAAGTTATCGGTAAGGTCGGACAAATTCCGAGGACATTTAGTATCTAATGGAATCTCAGGGTTGATCAACGAATCGAGAGAGCAGGTTATCGCTGAGTTGATTGCCATTATTTATGCAACACGGGCGGCCCTCCTGAGCCGCAGTAAAGGCTGTAGCTTTGAATGCAGCTCAATTATGTATGGAGCTCTTACGATACAGATGGAGTCAGTTCATCTTCTTTCGCCGACGCCCGAAGCTCCTTTCCCGGGTTGGAATTACAATGATCTCAGGCAGAAGGTATTGTCATTCCAATCACCACAGTGGTGTCGTTTCCATGGTTATTCAACTTATTGGCAATCCCACGTATGTCCCGATTCCTCCTTCACATCCATATTCGCGAACCTGGATGCCTGTGTTCAAGGCTTAGACCTGAATAGCCTTGATTCCTTTTAGACAATGATGAATTTACTTCCCCAATTCAATAAGAGGTTCCAATCGCTGAAGTTGCGGCAAAAGTGATGCTGTTGTTAGCGTATGCCAGTAATCTCAAAGGCCTAATATCACGGTGTAGCGGTAAATCTTCGTAACATAATGGCGACATCGAGTGCTAAAAAGCCAATTCTTACCAACCAGTCCATTTAGTCCCTATGATTCCAGATTTTGCTTTTACAGTCTTATCCCTCCTTTTAGCATTAACATAGAGGTTTAGTACACATGTGAAAAGAAAAGGAAAAACGGAAAAATATCACAAAACCAGCCCACCTTGGGTATCATTTGTCTCGAAACTCAATTATACTACCAATTATAACCAATCTATATTCAATATCACAGTTCACAGTTCACCATCTTACAATTCGCAGATCTGTCACCGAAGATACACACCATCTTCAGATCTCCAACCCGATTTTTGTTCAAGCCCACTTTCCAAGCAGGGCCATGATACCAGCACCAAGAATCATAGTCACCACCATGAAGGCCAAGCGCCGGTTGTCCTGAGTGCGGTGAGGGTCAAACAAGAAATCACGAGCAAGCAACTCAACGAGACCAGTGTACACCAAGATTCCAGCAGAGATTGAGTCCAGCACACCGGAGACAACATTGGCAGTGAAAGAGCCAGGGTTGTAAGTCGTGCGCAGACCAATACCAATAGCAATAGAAATCGGGGTGGTGAGGCCATAAGCAGAACACAAGAACCAAGGCAACCAGCTTCCCTTCTTGAATGGGATACTGGACATACGGGCTCCAATACCAAGTCCCTCGAAGGACTGGTGGAAGACGAGAACAGGGTAGAGGGTAGCGAACTCATCACCAGCGACACCAAGGTTGAGGCCAATAATGACAGAGTGGAAGATAACACCGAACTCCAGAATCAGCAGCGCAGCAAGCTGCTGCTTAACCGAGCGCTCGATTGCCAGCTCGCTAGTCTGCGACTCAACCTCCTTGACTTGCTTGTCATCTGCATGGCGAGCCGAAGCACGCGATTCAACACGGCGCACTTCACCTCCAGTCGACATCATGGGTTCTGGGTCTTCACGACAGATACCGTACTTGAGTTCCACCCAGCGCTCGGCACCGAAGTCCATGAGGAAAACTCCCATCAGGGAGGCCAATACAATTGCCGGACACCATGAGTAGTCTGCCCAGTGACCTGTCATTCCGACACATGTGTTGGGACCGATTTCGCCATATGCGGGATCGAGAAGGTGGATGAAGGCTGTTGCGATAATTACACCGGCACCGAAGTACTTGGCGAAGAGGTAGACGTAGATCGGGATGCGCAGGCGTGGTGCGCGTTGAGCTAGCACGGGGAAGAAGGTTGCTGCTGAAGAGACGATCATGATCACGAAGATGGCGGACACGCGCGCGCCGAGTTGGCCATTGTATTCGTTGCCCTCGGAATTGATGTAGCAGACAATGTCAGTTGGGTCGGCTGTGTCCAGGTCGACATTATGAGGATCGAAGGACATTTTGGCGGTTTATTTTAGTAGATCGTGCCTCGAGGTTGGAAGGGAGAAGTCCAAATAAAAGCGCCAGGAAGAGGGAAATTAAACACGACGATCTTATCCGAGGAATGTCACAGGAATTCCCTGACTGTTTTATATCTGAGAAAAACACTCTTAGGCTTCTTCGGGACCTCCGTAGTAGTGAGGACCTTGGGAGGTTGCTGTCTCGGTTATGTTAGTTTGGTAGCTAGCTTGTATTGACCATGACCGGTTACGTTATTAGCTAGGGTATTCGAATCAACTTGGAACTTTTGAGGTAAAGTGTCTGATTAATATTCAGAATCCCTGATCTACGTGATATGCTGCTGTTGTACTACTATTGTGCAAGGAACTTAGGGGTTTTCCCTACCCCTTGCCGGGTATCAAAAGCCCAGACGGGATCAACTATCAGCCCTACACACGTTTTTACAGAACCAAGGCTCGGATAATTCCTTGTCAAAGCTTGGGGCCATGTAAGCATTCGACGAAAGTCTTGTTAGTGGGCCAAATCTCGTGGTGGTGATTGGGTATTAGTGTCATGATTTTCCCCCAAGGTCCCTGAACATAGATTACGCGTGGGTCAAACCCCGGCATCCTAGTGTTTTTACGAGGAGATATTACTTGAACAGGCGATTTCTGCGCAGTGGCTTGAACTCAGATGTCATTCCATGGTTGCATGGATACATTTAGAGACATGAAAAAGTGTGTATGGAGTAAAATATCACTGTGGTGGGCGGACGTCTCCGATTTGCAGGGATACTTTTGTCGCCAAACGCGGAAAGGATGAACTGAGTCGGCAAAAGCCGACCCAATAATGAATTGAATAATAGAAATCACATCGCAAGAGTAGTTCATGTCACCTAAGGAGACATCACATTGTCCTCTCTTCATCACGGCGGTTAGCGTTGTAGCCGCCCATGTGTGGGTTCAGCACAAAATCACTCAAGCTAAGACAACCTTGCGAGTCATGTGCGGAGTCTAGACTTGGAACTTCCAGGAACTAAGGGTTTAGGACTAAAAGAAAACAATTGAAACATGAAAAAGCAAGTTCATCCAGCCCGAAAGCACGAGACCATCCCATCCCATTTCCATCCTCGGTGTCTGAGACTATCTCAGCCCAGATCGCTAAATAAAGTAACATAAAACATAGATCATAAAACAAGTCATAATAAGCATAGTTGAATGCAATCGCCACATGCAAGGTTTCTTCATAACTCGTTTCGTTTCTCGTACCCCATGCCAGGATCTCATCCCAGCTTGCAGAGAGGATCCCCAGTCTGTACACATAAACACATAATTCAGGTTCACACCCTGTCGTTCGTATAATATAGATCCCCTCCCATCAGTCAAAACAAGAAACAGAAACACGCTCCGAAGCCAATCGCTAAAATCATCACATCGCTAAACAAAAGCCCCCTGTGCCCGAGTGAACCTGACCCTGGGACTGAACTCAAAAAACACATTGAAAAAGATACACAAACAAGAGAGGAATAAAAAAAATGTTGCGTGATCTATCGTTGCACGCTAGTATTTCAAGGGCCATTGCTAGCCCGTATTTTTTTCCAAGAAGAAAAAGAAGAAGAGAAAAGGGCTAGATCAAGCAAAGGTCCCAGGCAGGACATTGCAAGAAATGCAAGAAAGAAAAAAAAAAGGCGCCAAATCAAACAACAATCCCAAGGGGGATGTCGTAGAGAGGCAAGAAAAGTAGAAGAGAAAAGGGCTAGATCAAGCAACTATCCCAAGAAGGACATCGCAAGAAATGCAAGAAAGGTAGAAGAAAAGAATGAAGAAAATACGGTAGTGTCGAAAATCGGAAGCCTACTCCCGAAAGGAAAACCTCAAGGGTGGAAAATACCTTCCTCCTTGACAGGAGTATCATAACCATGACCCTGCACCATACGGCGGAAGTCCCGAACAACCTTTTCAGGCACTCGGTCCCACATCAATGATCTGGAATACACATCAGAAGATAAAGCGGAGTGCATACGACTCTGCTGCGCGGCGGTATCCCGCATCGCAGCAAACGCCTGCTGCAGAGTAGATGGCTGCTGTGGCTTGAAGTCTCCGCCATTATCCTCAAACGTGGTCAAGGAGTTATACTGGTCGGCGTTCATTGAGAACACCTGTTCGCGCTCCTGCTCCTCTGTCGGCATGACGAGCGTGTTATGCATCTGGTCTAGATTCGAGGGCACGGATTGCACAGAGCTCATCTGCGCCATTTCCATACCGCTGATTGTTGCCGGCGCAGAATTGGTTGCTGTCGCGTGATTGATAGAGTGGGGGTGGGTGAGCTCATGACCAGGTGACGAGGCTAGCACGGCTTTCAGCACGTTGGCTGACTCGGCCCGGTACTCTTCGGAGAGTTGGGGTAGCGAGCGGCCCGGTAGGGAGCTACTCTTCGAGGCGAAGAAGGCACCGACAAGCAGGAACATGTAGAAGGCGTTCCAGCTGATCGGCAGGTCTGATCCGTTGCTGGATTTCTCCGGGACCTTAACCTGCTGGCTAACCTGAGGACGGGGAGCTTGAACATATTCCGGTTGCAAGGGGGGTCCAGTGACCAGTGAGAAGTCGTCCCATGAGGGGTTTTCCATAGTGGGGTTCTCAAAGCCGGTGAAGTCGCCAGGCAGATTTTCTTGGGCGGGTTTGACACCGCGCTCCAGCTGCTTGATGATCTCATCCTGCATGCTGTTCCTCTTCAACAGATTGGCGGTCTCCCGCGTGTGTCTGAGGGTAGCCTCATCTTTCTCCATGTCCTGGCGTTGGATGTGCTCGGTCAACTGCCTATTGTAGGCAGTCAACTGGTGATTCTCATACTCCAGGGTTTTCATAGCCCGTTGCATGTTCTGGTGATTTTCCTCCAGTTGCGCGATCTTTGCAGCTTGTTGCGCGACAATCTCATCCTTTTGCTTGAGCTTTTCTATATTACCCTCGGCTTCCTTCTTCTTGCGCTGACGAGATTGCAGGCTATTAAAATAAGGTTAGCATTTAATCCAACTCGACGTATGAATCTCCACTTACGCTGCATCCCGATTCCGCAGCAATCGTTTGTTTGCCTTGAGTTCTTTTTTCTTCTCCTCATCCGTGCACTCCCGGATAGCCTCATCGATATTGGCCAGGCTTAGTTCGGGGGAGATTTCAATTCGGGAATTTCTCTTCCGAATCCCATCTCCCCGCCTCAACGGCAAGGCAATGCGGTAATTCGGGCTCTTCCTCGAGTGCATTTCTGCTTCAGCGAGGTCCATCGGCGCCGGCATCCAACCCTGGCTTGATTGCGGTGACATGGCGACACTGCCAGGAGTCGCAAATGCCATACCTCCACGGTACGACATGGGGTTCATGGGCATGGCGCCGACGGGTCCAACCGCACCACCAGAGAAGGGAGTGATGGCACTCTGATCTCCATTGGTAGGGTACTGGTCATAGCCTACGGTCGGGGTACATGAGCCTGAATCGGTGCGCGGCATGGGCCACGATCCCTGCGGGTAGGAAACCGACTGCGGGCCGTCGACGGGCATGAATGGGGCACCCGTTGAGTTCAGCATAGCGTGTCCGATTTGCGAGTGCGAATTTGACTGCGACTGGCTAGAGCTGGTATTTGAGTAGTTTGACCAGACAGAATCCCGATGTGAGTAGGCATCTGGGCCGTCGTAGGAGGCGCGGCGGTTGTCGGGATGGTCTTCGGAATTTGGATCCAGAATCTTATCGTCCAACACGCTCATCTCGTCGTCTTCTGGTGTCACGTCTAACGTCGATGGTGATTGTTGGTAGAATTCAGACTGGAAATATTGTGCCATCATGAAGAGGCGGTGTGTGTGTGTGTAAAAGAGAGGGGTGGGGCGGGGGAAAGAAGATGATTTATAGAGAAATTGGTATAGAAAGAATAAATCACCAAAGAGGGAAATGAGTAGGTATAAAGTGTAGAAATGAATATGAAGATGACGATATAAATTGTGAAGAGGGGGAAATATGCTGTGATCTAGTTCCGGGGGGAGGCAGGCTATGTATGAGCAGACGCAGTGCTCGTGCGGTTGACATTGTACCCACATGTACCGAGTACCGATGTAGGTGATGGAGAATAGCCTGTCGATCAAGTACCCTGTACTCATCCAGCGGTCTGCGCGGGAGTGCAAGAGTGGCCCCCGGGACAGCATCTCCGTTATTGGCTGCATTGTTTTGCTTGGGCAGACCTGCATCTGTTGATGTTTGATTATTTGGGAATGGTATTTTGGTTATTTCAGCTTGAATTTTCTATTTGGGTTTTTATTTCATTTTCGATTTTATTCGAAGGTTTTTTTTTCCTCTGTTTTAGTTCTGTTTTTAGTATCCAGTCTCGATGGTAATGCTGGCAGTTATTTACTTGTTTATAGGTACGGAGTAATAACTGGCTATGTAACATTAGTACAGGATATGTACACTAATGTTCTATACACCATTGCCCTTTTTTCCCCCTCTCCTGTATAAAGTACCCGTAAACCCGAAGCCATCACCAAAAAAAAAATCTCAAGTGGGGGAAAATCAGACGCTGTGCTTATCGATAAACGATAGCCTATCGATCGATCCTCGTTCCGCCGGGTTGAGACAATCCCTGTCGTGGAGAGGATATGGTCTGTGCTATACCTTATTCACGGCGCTTAGGTAGAATACTATTTGCTACATAGAACTTGACCTGCACGTCTACTTAAAGCAGGTGTTTTTAAGTAGTTTTCTGTACCTTTCATGTACTAAACTCATCACCCGTGAATGGTCAGATGTCCAGTCTAGATGTCATCCTCCTTTCTATCCGCCGCTAACAGCCAATCATTCCCGAGTCAGTGTGACGATCCCTTTGGGCTGCGATCCATGGCAGTTTGATGTTTTGCTTTTTTCTCTTTGTTTCCGTCCTTATTTTGGGATTCGTTATTATTCCCTTCCTCTGTATGGTTTTGGATACTTTTCCATAGAATCAATCTCTGGTACGGGCTCGGCCCGCGGATCCACTGTTGGGCCGACCATGGATGAACAAAAAGAAGTAAAATAAAATAAAAAAAAGCAAAGCACAGATGCCATGCACTGATCACTCGTCCCATTCAGATGACGACCTCACCCCTCCAAAATCGAAATCCCAATATGAAACTACCCTGGATGGTAAGGCTCCGCCTAAAACGAGAGCTTGGGTCGAATATCCCACCCGCCTGATCTTGTTAATCTTGCCGTGATCTACTTGCAGCTCTCTCTGCAGCTTCCATATGGCTGCAGCAGCCATCCTTCCAATTCTTACAGGCTCACAGACCACATTTAATTAGTGATCGACTATGCGGAGTGCAGGGGACATGATGCCATCATATTTGACGGGTGCCTTCCGACTTGTATCAGCGCTGCGGGGTGAACACCCCCAAATCTATTACCTCAATATACCCAAATTTCCAAATTATACCAGGATTGTACTTGGGCTGTTCTTTTCTTTCACTTTTTTCTTTCCTCCCGTAGTTCAATCAGCCCCCATGTCGAGCCTTGCCGCCCAAAGTGCAGACCCAGTTCCTGTTCCTGTGAGTTCGTCTCAACAATTCCCCGGGGGCACAAACCCCCTCGGTGGCAGCCGCTGAGTCTGTTCGCAGTCTATACATAGTACATAGCACGGAGCCTGTGATAATGATAGGCCTGTCATCTGGGCGGCAAGTCCGCGAGTGGGCAAGTTAGCCCGGATAACATCTGGCGGTGAAAAAGCCGAGTCTGTCCAATGGAGATCCAGTCTGCCATCGGCCACCCCGTTCACGGGTTCATTGCTACATTAGTCATAGACAGACAATTATTCTGAGTGCAAGGTACCCGATGGCATTTTTGGTTTCTGCTCGCTAATTACGTTACTATAACATACATTACAGATATCAAAGGAGTTGAGGCCAGTATCATGGTAGTTCCGTTATGTACAAACCAACACCGTATATCTTCTGCAATACGAGACTAATATTTTCGCCCTTCCTGCGGTGAAGCTGAAACCACTGTTTTGACATATGACTCAGAATGAAACTGGCGATCTACCTTCTTTGCACAAGCTAGAAGGCCATGGCAGGTCCACCGTTCCACTTCCATTCTATTATTCATGTAGCCAATGGTCCACTTCTTGCAAATCTTCATACACCTGCAATACACCGTACACTGTATGCGCCCAAGGGTCTCTAAAACATGTCCCCGGCACAGGCTAGGCTAAGCCGCATATGATCTCAAAGCCTCACTTTCAACCTGTACCTGCCTGATATGCCGTGCACCGGGTACGTTGGGCACATCATATGGGGGTAACCCAGTGCGTAGGATTGGATGCGACTAGGCCACTAGATACTCACTAATGGGCTCCTGTTATGCTCCACATGCCGGATTGGGGATTCGTTGACGTTTTTCGTGTCTATAGTCTGCCTATCGGGGAATCCCTCTTTTTCTTGGACCCGTCGGGGAAGGACACTTGATCTCTATGCCGAGGATCTTTGTTCACCGTTTCAATGACTCATTTTCTGTAGCAGGGCGAGAGATGGATGAGAGGATTTGGGAGTTTCTGTCGCTTGTAGCGGTAATGGCTAGCTAACACGTCGTCGAAATGAGTTGACCACAGGTGGACCAACGACCTACGATGATCGCAATATTAGAACAATGAAGCTATTATTCAGCATCTCAGAAAGACTGAGTCACCGTCTCGTTCTATTGCTGCTCTCGTCCGAGAGGTTGTCTTTCTCTCCTACTATTCTTGTCTGAAGGATTCACACTCTTTTGTCCGGTGACGTTCGTTGTCTTGGTCTGAGTAGACTATCTGTCCTGCACTAAAGCCCAACAGACGGTTCCGACGTAGTACAATGATTAATCCCATGATACAAGAAGACTAAAGGCCAAAACCAACACAAGATAGTGTTGATAGACAAGGACTGGTGTGGCTTGACTTAGCCGCGGACGCTTTCAAGTATTGGTGATACACATAGTTCGCAGGATCTTCAAGAGCCCAGGATTATTCCAACTACAGACCACCCACAATATGCTACTTGATTCCTAAGTAGTTATGTACTATTCATTCTGGCTAGACCTAGCCTCCGTTGCATGTTTACACAAGGAAGTGCTTGACTTCATTCGGTATCACTCTCTCAACTTGCCCAATAGAAGCAGTAGTGTTGATCACGATGCTACATGTTTGTGAATATTTTAAACTTGAGCTCGAATATTGTCTATAGTTCTACTCCTTACTCTCGGCATTGATATTTGAGGTCCGAACTCGAATCGTTGCTGCCTATATCACCGAATGTTATCTGATATACCCCTCCACGTCTATACTTAGCAATCCCAGGGCGCCAATATACCAGCCACACAGTCAAAATATGTATACACTACAGTTAGTAACAAGTAAATGAACACATTCTAGGCCCTGGCTATGTCTTGCTCAACCTGCTCCCAATATTGCCTCTGCGGTCTCAGCTGGTTCCACGGGCCGGGGTCATCCTTGTTGGTCTCGGAAGGATATCCTGGAATGCGGATTTCAATATTGCGCTACCTACAACATGAGTCCGTTTATCTTTCAAACATCATGTAGTAGTGAGGCTTATACATTTCTCTATTCATTCATGGTTACGCAACTTCATACTTCATGTCACCAGTCAGCAGGACATAGACCCTGCAGTTGTTTCTACCACTGTCACATGGCTCGGCATGGGTTGGTTGCCGAAGTATATCCAACACCATGTTGACATGTGCAACTGTGATCAACAATGTAGAACTTGAGGAACTAAGCACACGTGCAGGAAAAACTTCAAAGTAAGATGTTCAATTTCTTTTTTTTTTCCAATTCCTTTTCAACTGAATGCTATCGACATCTTTCCGGGGTATGGGCAAGGCAAACGAAAAGCAAGAAAGACAACTATCCAATCGACTACAAATGGCAGGATTTAGGATTTAGAAGCGGATAAAATCTTGCTGCTGCGACATCTCGCCGCTATCCACGCCTTCGATCAGTTCTTCCGGTGTGTCATCGAACGCATCCGAGTCAACGTCGTCCGAATCGATCGCATCATAGTTCTCTTCCTCGCTAGACGGGTCAGAGTCATCCTCACCCAAGTCAGCTTTACTAGCAGCAGCAGCAGCAGCCTTGCGGATCTGGCCCGCACGGTCGACGTGCGGCAGCTGGCAGCGCTTCTTGTTGCAGGTGCCGGTGTTGGCATAGTCCGGGCACTCGTGGACGTGCTTCTCTTCGCACGCGTCACCCTTCTCGCAGTATCCTAGTGTTGCAAAGGCGCGGCAGACGGGGGCACCGGGTGTCACGCGGACGTGGGCATAGCGACATTCGGGGTTGGCGCAGCGTCCCCTAAGGAAATGCATACAGGTAGGGGAGCGGTGGGGCGATGGCTCATGGGATAGATCACAGCTACTACCTGCGGCACATTGGCCTGTCTGAAGGAAGTCCTTGCACATAGCGACCTTACTGGGGTCGTGGACGAATTGGCAAGTTGGGCCTTTGTAGCATGTGCCTGGAAAGACAGAGTTAGTTTCTAGACATACTGATAGTGTGGAACATGGCAGTATGGCCCGTCGGAAAACAAAATACCGGTTGTTGTAAATCTTTTGCAAAGCTCATCGCGTTTCTTAACGGTGTGGTTCCTATGGCAAGGTTAGTATACAGGTAGCCATCGCGAAAACACAAACTTACTTCTTCATAGCCACAGCACCGAGACGGTGCAGGTTTCCATTTTTGCTACGCACAAAGGACACATCGGCCACTGTGACGCGCTTGGGGGTATTGTTGGCAGTACTGGGGTCATCTATGAAGGGTAAGCAAATTCGAGGTGAAGAGCGAAGAAAAATACGCACTCGAAATACGAATCAGTTTGCTTCCGCCATTTGCAACCCTGAAAGCGACACCATTGACAAGAATCTGATGGCCAGCTGCAGGATTTGCAGTGGTGGAGACCATCGCATTGGCACCTGGACCCTGTGCATATCGAAGTACTTTCGCCTTTTCGTACTCGGTTTTTTTCTGTTCCCTAAGCTTGCGCGTTCGTTCCATGTCCTTTGTTCTGTCCTGTGTTTTCCGATCGTAGACGGCGGGGTTGATCAGCTGCATGTGGCGATCGTGCTTTACAACCCAACCATTGCCAGTCGAGGATGGTGCCGCTGCACTCTCATTGCCACTTGTCGGGGCGGGGGAGGAGTTTGCACTAGTATTTGAGCCGGCGCCTGCGGTGTTCAAAATAAGCGTACGGTGCCGGTGAGGAGCAGCTGCTCCTCGACGTCCTCGGCCGCGTCCCCGGTAGTATGGGGCCCATCCTGGGTGAGAAGGAGCATGGCGAGACACATATTGAGAATGGTGATTAGCCGGTTGAGTTTCTTGCGTCTTGTGACGGTTGATTTGGCCTTTTTGATGTTAGCTTTGTGTAGATAGTGAGCTGATATTAAGCGCACCTGCAAGCTGGCCGATCTTGGCCAGGAGATCGTCGTTTTCGCTCATGGTGACTACCTGAAGCTAAATAAGGTAAGTGGATAGCAGATACAGAGATCTGAGTGCTTTTCAGATTAAGATCAAAAGCTGGGGTGTATTTTAGAAGAAGTTCCGAGCCGGTGATGCGGAGGAAGCAGCAAAGACGCGCGCGCATTTAGTGTGATCCGAGAGGGATGTTTGCATTGTTTGCGTTAATTATGCCTTAGGCATAAAAGAGAGCAAGTGGCGAAGAGGTCTGTGCTCAGCTTGACGAGGACGTCACCAACTATCCAGCTCAACAGTACGGAGTAAGCTGAGACAGAAAAACGCCTCTTCGAGGCCTGTGCGGTTCTCTAAGGTTAAAGAAAGCTCGCTTCAGCATTCGTGCCTAATATTAGCTTCAGTGGAAAGCAGCTCCACTCCCGACATAACAATCACCAGCGAAGTACTCCCCACCTCACGTCTAGGTGCATAAAAAGAACTTCAAGATTTAAAAGAAGACATTGTTATCTAATTTTCTCGTAAATTTGTTAATATATACTCCCTGCCTACACCATCAATGGCCAAGCCATGTGAAATTCTTACTGAAAACCTTCCTGATAGCAGACACACTGGCGCTATAGTTCACAATATGTCGGTATACTGCCTTATCACATGCCTATCAAACAATTCAAAGTTTAAACCGAAGCCAGTCAATAAAGGGAACTTCCAGACCGACAATATTGGGCCCACGCGTGGTTGGATCCACGTGCTTCAGGCAATTCTCAACAAGAAATGTCTACAATTTTGATGAAACCAGGCTTGCAACTAGGCTAGGGATGCTCAAAGTGGTCATTGTGCCTCCTACAGAGATATGAGTTTCAAATATACCAATCAAAGGAACCATTGCTTAGGACCAAGTCCAACATTGTATGTAATTCATTTGTTCATTCCATTTTATGACTATTTTCCGAATTGAACCGGCCTTTCCTTGAAAGCCTTAACGCCAGGACCCTGCTTATGCAACATATCGAAGCCGTTATTTGTCTGTATTTGTTTAAACGTCCTCAAATTTGACGTCGTCCTGATCCATTCCAGAAGCTGGATCATCCTCTGACTCGAAAGGATCGTCGGCTCCCGGTGGCAACTCTGCCTTTGCATTGTCCATCGCATTCGAGTACTGACTGTGGGTTGCCTCGGGCTTCAGCTCCCAAGTCATAGCGAAGTCACCAGCCTTGACAAGGTGCGCAACCATCTCCAAAGTCTGCTTGAGATAGGCCTCTGGCTGTGCCAATCGGGCCTTGAGTGTCTTAAAGGGCCAGTATTTGAATTCGCGGAAGCACTGGAAGATAAGATCCAGAAGCTCGTTTTGTGGCATACGGGTGGACTTGTTCTCCTGGGATTTTCCTTTGGCAGGTCGTGTGGCTTGCTGCAGGCGAAGTGAGTAATCTACCCTCGAACATAAACAGAAATACAAGAAAACATACCACAAATTGTCCCCTCTCGGTGGGAAGAGCATGGCGGGCCTGGATGATCTTCCCGGGAATCTTATCAATGAAGACAGTTTCCTTCCGAGGCTTCAGAGCTTCCAGCGCTCGCTTCTCGGAGATCCGTCGGAACTCTTCATTCTCCACGGGAAGGCAATTGAATTCTTCACTGACCGCGCCGGCGAGGGCAGTGTGTTCTAGGAATTGTAAGCAAATGCAACTCTCTATGTCTGCAGTGGGACATACTTGGTATCGTCTTTCGCACATAAGGCTCCCATCTTTTGCCCTGTTCACGCCGCTTCGCCTCTCGTTTCTGAGCTTCGTATAAAACCGACCGCGTTTCGCCAAATGTAGCCATACGGTTCTCGACGCCGGGGATATCTTTCTCGGTGAAGAGGTACGTATTGTGGGTGAGGTGTGATCCGGTGCCGGATGGGTCGACTGTTTGACGCTGGAGTGTGTAGTCCTTGGGAATCTCCCGATTATCTGGGCGATCATGTATGCGCAAACTGACCTGAGAAACGGACGGATATCAGAATCTGCCAGACACATTGCATGCGCGTGTCTTTTTACTCACCCTCTTGATGTCGTTCGGTGTCCCCTCCACTCTCATGGTACCAATCTCAATCTCTTCGTCATCGTCCAGGTGGGCCCAGTGCTCCCACAGCGACCGAGGCAGGCGGGAGAGCCACACGTTCTGACCTGCTTGCGTGAAGTCCAGGTCTCCAGCATCTTCGTAGAGATCTTCTTCGTCTATGTCCCCAAGGACGATATCCTTGCTGTCAGGGTCTTGCTTGAAGTACGGGCGATCCGGGTCTTGCTTGACCTGCGCCATATTGGGTGCGGGATGGCTCGAGGACAGTCAAAATCCAGAGGAAGTAATGGCGTAGCGAATGCGACTGTCGAAGGAGCACTGAATTTATCGGGAGAGAAAGCGGTGGATGGAGTGAAAAGCACGTTCTAGTGATAAAGTCCGCGCCACCCAAGTCTGGAGCTATTCACTCAACCCGATGTGGTAGGCGGTGAGAGCCAGCTCTCTCTGCATGTATGACGACGTGCTTTTCGACTCTTCGCCTACACAGTAATATTAGGTGCATAGCTTAATTATACACTCAACTATAATCAGATCCCAAATGGGGCTCCAGGACATAACTAACTTTCTAGATAGTATTTATTCACTTGAGCAACCAGTGTGATACCAATCACCACACGTGACAACTATCCTGACACTAATATCATGCCTTTGCCAGCTTTGAGTACTATATTATATGTTGCTATTTACGTATACTAATATCACTTACTAGTTCGCCGTTTCCTCGGGTTGGATCATGAATCCCAACTCCTCCGAATACAGAGATAACTTCTAATCGCAGTGTTCTAGGATTGTCATGTAACCACCATCCTCAATCAAGTATCAAATTAGCAGTCTACAGTGCAGTGGGCCCCACCAACATCAGCAAATGGGTCGAAGTTAGCTGGCAATCCTCCCCACATGCGTACCAACTCTTCACAGTTGGCACACAGCCTTCGTACAGCTTTCCAAGCCCACCCCGAAACACCATCTTCATAATGGCTGTGGAGCACACCTTTCCTATGCACAGCTATTCCATACACAGCACCCGGGTTGGTATTCCCCCTATCTGGTTAGATTTGGTACTATACGGATCCCAAGGTAGCAAACTCACTTCAGCATATGCAGTAGAGGATATACCTCGGCGCAGTTTCCAAACCAAATCCCCTTGGCAGATGCAGGGCAATCGATCATGGTATACCCCTTCAATGCCATCTCCGCATCATTGATCAAAGAGAACCTTGCTTCTTTAACTGTTTGCGTCCATGAGGCGCTTGCTTTCTTGTACCGTCCAAAGGATGCTCCCAGGAAGAACCGGCCTCGGTCTTCTCCCACTGCTATCCACGTGCAATTGAACATGGTGGGACATGGTAGAGAATCCCCAAGCACTTTACACCACCTCCCGTACATAGCTACGAGCGGGAGGTAGAAAGTGCGCGAATTTGCACCAGTCGGCGCATTACCCATCGATGAAAGAAGCAGGCCTAATATATCACAGAGTCCCCGGAAGGGGACTCCGTCATGCATAAAATCATCTTGAGGCAACTTTTATCTTTTTCGAGATCGATGGGTCCCAGCCGGGGTTGAACACATGCTCCATTTCGAGACTTTGCTCGAGGCCGCGTGAGGCAAACAGGTTACCGTCTGCCGGGCTGTGTGAATGAGAACAAAATTTAGTCAGAAGTGCTAGGCATATGGATATGGTGTAAGCTTGGTCCCTACCGTAGCATCTCAATTTGAGACACCATGGCTCTGAGAGCTGGAATTTGGTGGTCTTGGATATCATAGAGATATCCATACGTGACAACGTGGCGCAGAAATTTCATTATCTGAAGCCAGGATCAGGGATTATTCTGCGCATGGGTTTTCTGAGGAAGTGATGTTGGACTACTCACGGAATCCGCATTCCAGGCATAGGCCTGTCTCAGGTCGAGAATGCCATTGAAGCCCTTCAAAACTTCGTTGTATTCAGCCATGTCGAAGGATCAGAGTAATGATCAACTAGATAGATTTTAGGAGTTAGAGTTCTTGTAACGTGGTTTGATAGTCGTGAATTCACGCGATTGTTGACAAGTTGGAGTTCGTGGTTCATTGTGTGCAGCAGATGTACCAGTCTATACGTAATTTACGTATTTTACATATATATTTCAATACCCCGATCCATGTAACCACATCTAACTTCATCCACCTTCATAGTGGTGTTCAAATTATTCAAAGCCTGGTTCTTGATAGTTGAATTCTTGATGCTTGGACTCAATACTTGGAAATTTTACCATATTATTGAGACAAAGTAGTAACAGTATGCATGCTAATATATCCTTATACTTGCTATATTTACTGCCCGTACTGAATTCTTTTATCCTGTAACCCTACGAGATAAAAGATAGGTCTATGGTAGCATGATAATATACTAGTAACAATCCGATAACCTTATATAAACTAATAATAGCTACTAGTTCTATTTACCCTGCGACCTTTACCCTGCGACCCTGCGAGTATGGTATTCGACCCTCCTCTGTGTGGATGCAACCGCATTGGCCATGGTGTCCCGAGTCACAGGAAGGCTTTTGTTAGATCTATAAAGAGTCTCCAGAACGCCTTTATTCATGGAGAGCAATTGCAATTTCAATATAAATGTAACATCTGTGGCACTGACTTTCAGACCATCACACTGCTTCAGAACAAAAACTTAAGATTTCCCGTGTCTCTCCACCAGTGTGGAAGTAGTAGCCACGGGAAAGAATTGACGTTATTATATTCCTCTCCTCAGCACAATTGACATTAGGATCAACCCTCCTGTCAAGAAGAAGCTTTATAAAGCCGGTGTCTCCGACGACTGCAAGCATTTGTAGTAGCAGACCGACTCGCTCGTCCAGAGCACTGATCTCCGACAGAACTGGCAGAACATGTTTGATACCCACGCCCGGGCCAGTCAAGAGAACGTGGTTTATTGAGTCAGACACAGAGAAGATACCACACCTATATGATCGCATATAAGTGTGAAAGGTAGACATCCATCTATGACTTGGTTCATTGGGCTGAAATGGCGTTCTGGACTTCTGATTTGGGGTAAAAGATAGGGATTTTACCATATTCTGCAGTAAACTTCCAACAAACCAGAGATAACAATGAGGCAGCCGCCATAGATCACATGTGTGCGATATGATGGGCAGAGATAATGAAGACACCTTTACTTCGAGTCTCTGTGCTGGTGGTGTTAGCGCCTGGGGTTCCGGGTTCTTAGCGCTACGCCTCCATCCTAGAGAGCAATGTTAATTTGTATGTTCCGTTTTCATCAAACTTGGTTTTCCTGAAGACCAATAATTATCGTAATTGTCATAATCAGAATCCTTCTCGCTCGAGGAACTAACTAAAGTAGGATGGATCTGATCAAGGCTCTACAGGAACAGCATACCACTCCGTCTATCCAATTATGAGGGCACCCCTACTCATATGATCACTTATATAGGAGTGTAAATTGTCCAAATAGATGTGTTGGGTGAAATGGTATGCAGGATTTATTTTATGTACGAGAACTGGAGAGCTATAACTGGTTGAGAAGCAAAGACACCAATAGCAACCACCTCGATCGCAAGACCGAATGCACCCGAGAACAGTCCATTTCCAGTTCTATAGTTACGATTCTGTGATCTTTATGAGACCATATTTTACCTATGTTATGACCAAATTATATTGACTCCGTTGTCTTGTTTCCTTCCAAGGTTCTGTATACATCCCAGCTCTTATCGATAACAGCCGTCCCCACCACTCCGCGTCTAACAGCAACTCTCTTTACCACCTCTCCTTCACTCAACCACCAGCATGGCCTCCCAAAAGATGACCAACGCCCTAGCGGGCATCGAAACAAACCCACACCAACCAACAAAGCTACAGCAATACACCGACCTTCTCAATGAGATGGTAACAACCTCCACAGGCCACGAGCTCGCCCAAGACCTAGTCTACTACCTCGACTCAATCCTCAGCGAAGAAGTGAGCATCGTCGCAGCCCGCCCCCTCCTCGACATCTTCATCACAGTCCTCCAATCCCTCACCCCGGAAACAAAAATAAAAGTCGGCCAGCACGCCATCACCCTCCTCCACACGCGCTCCGCCTCCGTCGAAGAACAAGACTCGCAAATCCGCGAGATCCTCGCAGACGCCTACGAGTCCCAAGAAGAATACACAGCCGCCGCCCGTGCCCTACAGGGCATCCACATCGACAGCTCGCAGCGTCTGGTCTCAGATGCCGCCAAGGCCCGTCTGTGGATCCGTATTGTGCGCTACTACCTCGAAGATGACGACACAACCAGCGCCGAAGCCTTCCTCAACCGCATCAAGAACCTCCCCTCCAAAATAGAAGACCACGATGCAAAGCTCTACTTCCAGCTCTCACAAGCCCGTATTCTAGATGCCCGTCGCCGCTTCCTCGACGCCGCCCAAGAATACTTCAACGTGAGTCTCGCGTCGGGCGTCGACGAAGGAGACCGTCTGACGGCACTATCCGCTGCGATCCGATGCGCTGTCCTCGCACCGGCTGGGCCACAGCGCTCTCGCTCCCTCGCCCGTCTGTACAAAGACGACCGTACGCCCTCCGTTGAGGAATTCGGTATCCTGGAGAAGATGTTCCTGGACAGACTCCTGACAGCCGATGAAGTGGCCGCGTTCGCGAAGAAACTTGCGCCGCACCAACTCGCTGTTACATCGGACGGCACGACTGTTCTTGATAAGGCGGTTATTGAGCACAACCTCGTGGCAGCGAGTAAGCTGTATGAGAATATCCATGTCGATGACCTGGGCTCGATTCTTGGATTGCAGTCTTCGGGTGATGTGTCTGCTGGCGAGAAGGCGGAGGCCTATGCGGCGCGCATGGTTGAACAGGGACGGCTGCGTGGTCGGATTGATCAAATTGATGGAGTTATCTCGTTTGATGCTGAGACTCTTGGTGGATCCTCGGCGGGTGCTTCTAATGGGACGAAGCTGAGACAGTGGGATCTTGGTGTGCAGGAGCTTGCGGAGGACGTAGAGCGTGTTGCTACTAGTATCTCTGATCAGTTCCCGGTATGTGCTGGCTTTTGTTCTGTCTGAGGTTGTATTTCTTGCTAATATATTGATTCTAGGAATTCGCCACGAGCCAGATGGTGCACTGAATGGTCTGCTCTGTCTCGTCTGTGTGTCCATTTGATGAAAGATCAAAAATCTACGAATTCATGCCTTCTACTTACTCTTGCATATCGTTTTAGCCAGCCTGAGAAATGAAAGACAAGCTCCATTTGCTGATATTTCTCGCCTCTATACCTTCGTGGTCTCTACTTAATTATAAATGCCATCTTTGAAAAGTGAGATCCATGGCTTCATAGTCTTTCTCTCGACTAACGCACTTCTGAATGTTTTCGAGCAACTAGATACAATAATAGCTAGCCGCCTATGCGGCCTTGTCAGTCTTCTTAGTTGTCCTTTTAAGTGTGTGTGAAGGAGAAAAAAGCATAGTTCCTTCCAAGGTTTGTGCAAGAGACTTTTATATAACCTTCGAAATAGATCCAATAATCCGAGTAGACACGAATACAAGTTATATACAGCCTAAAAGGACCAAAGCTAGAGGACATGAAATATATATAAAATGCAAAACTCGCAAGATATAGTATGAAGTGTATAGTCTGTATTGTGCACGCAGGCAAATCATATTCTAATCGTCGGTGAAGTCGACATATCAATATCAAGAATGACAGCTGGTAAAGTTGGCAAAGGTAATCGAGTGCAAAAAAAGCCGAGGCAAGTCGTATACAAGCATAAAAGTGGAGGAAAGAATATAGAAAATGAGAGTGGATAAATGGGGTCATCGGTGTTCTCTCCGTGGGAATATAAACCCATTATTTTCAACACCCTGTCCCAAGAACAAAAAATAAGAGATATCATCACATCATGACGGCATAAATAAACAGCACACCACCTCAATGGTTCAGCTTAGTAGTGGAATCATTGCTCGGAAGGATAGAAATATCGGTCTGGACATTAATAGTCCGCGGGTGGAGATCATCACCAAGGTACCCAGGCGACTTGCTCTCGACCTGAGCATTGTACATCTTCACATACTCCAGATCCGGCGAGCGGGGGCTAGAATTCGACAAGAACAAAGAGTTCGTGTAATCAGTGTTGATATACGCAGGACCCGTTCCATTACGGGAGCTCTTCAACTTAAGCGCCGGGAACAAACCCCGGATAATCGGCAAATTGGAACAAATCAGACCAACAGCTGGCTCGATGTGCGTCCATAAAGTCGCCTGGTAGACGGTGAAAGTTGGGTCCGTCTGACTGATCCAGAAGAGCACGACGATCCGGTAGATGCTTGCGAAGCAAACGAACGCGCCGAGAGCAAACACCCCGTTCAGCGCGAGCTTGTCTTGCCATGCGCGGTGGAGGTTCCAGATCATTGGGATGGGCAGGATGAGGATGACGAAGTCCATGAGTACATTGAAGGCTTGATTGACGATGATGAATTCCTGGGCGTCGAAACATGTTCCCTCGATACTGTGGTCCCAGTATGCCCGTAGGGGTCGACATTGTCCTGCGCAAGCTAGGAAGATCCCTGTGCCCCAGGCGGCGATTAGGCAGTTTAGGCTGAAGGTGACCTTTTGGAAGATCGGGGTTGCGAAGAGACGTCGGTAGAAGCAGATGATGGAGATCTTGATACAGGGACAGAGTACGAAGTAGGTGAATTGGTTTGCGAGGAAGATCTGGGTGGTGTTAGGTTGGTGTTGTTGGATATTGGAGGATTGCTGTGTACATACCTTCCAGTAGTTCCTGAGGGTTTCGGGAGATAGATCCGCGATATGAGCTCCATTCCCTCCAATTGCACACCCTAGTAATAGATGTTAGTATTGGATGGAATTCCAATCTGGTCCACGGGCGGGGTAATCACATACAGAGAATCAACTCGACCAACATGGCAACAAGGAGCACCATGGATATCATGCTCAGATAATCATCGACACCGAATCCAACTCTCCTCCGAATACGAGCGACGACTCGCAGCACGACTGAGACTAGACATAGACTGACCAAGACCGAAATGATCTCAATCATCTGCCATCCCTTCTTGCTTGGCGCCATTGCACTGCCCGACAAACCAATAGTAAAAGAGTGTAGGATCCAACCGAAACAATGGCAAAGTATGTATGAGTTTTAAAAAAAGAAGGAATGAATGGGAAACACACAATCCTAGGGCATTCACTGATATAAAAGTTGTACCACGCGAATATCCAGATCTGTCCGACGTGCCGGTGCCCTAGTCCAGGTTCAAAATTCCATATCCCACTATTTTATCCACTCACACGCAACCCCTAGCGGCCGATCGTTGTCCCGATGGAGATCCCGGTTTATGTGGAATGTATGTCGACCTATTTATCCACGTGGATGACGATAGGATCTACTGTACTCACGTGTGCTGGAGATTTTAGTGATCTTAGTGAGATTCATAGTTGACCCCTCATTCTCGTCTGGGATCCTGGTTATTGTGTTGTTTAACAGGACAATGACATACAAAGTGTAGCTTGACCCTTGTTGCAATGACAAATGCTTTCTTTACAGAATAAGCCAGTGGATCCCAAGTGGGGGGCTGGTAACAGCCACAATGGGAAGGACATCCCTACGATCGCCATCTAAGACCACCTGGGCAGCTGAGAACGAGGACCGAGTCATGCAAGCTTTGAACAACCCCCTATCACTTGGACTATTGATTTTAGACTATCCATATTATACTACTCCATACTCCATACATGCTCCATATATTCTCCCAAGGTTGTGAATTACATATGGTATACTTAACCGAATGGAAAAGCTACCCGCAGCTACCGACGCCACGAGGACCTCACCCATGGTTCATCTCGGGTCCTAAACCTGACATGTAGATCTCAATAGCGTCGAAAATCCGCGCTATTAAATTGTTAGGCAGAGTTTAACCAGAGCGAACTACTGCGAACATATCCAGATACAGAAGTTGCTATAGATATGCGCGAAATACCATGCAGACCATACGGGGTTCAGATAGCCAGAGATAACCAGTTAAAGCGCCCCTCTTCCAAGCCCAATTGCCCTCAGTGGGCCTCGGGCTATTATTGAACACAATCTTCAGTTACCTCATACCTTTGTCGATCACTGGACCCCCCTGGAACTGCCGATTTTGTGTACATTTACCGAAAATAGGCACATGGGGAAAACAAATCTTCATTGGTTCGCAGATAAAAAAAACCATCACTAAACTGTGGAAAGCATAATCAAATAGTCGTCGCCTAGCGCGGAATAGTTGCCATTGGGCAACCAATGCAGGCAACCAACGTGGTGCCTGGGGGAGATCATCCAAATTCTGTTCAGTTGTTGGAATGGTGGAGCCGAGATGGAATGCAATGTACTTTGTAAAAGAGTGAAAGAGTGAAAGACTAAAATATTCCAAAGTTTATCTCAAGTCTCAATAGTGTTCTCTGTTTCCCCCTCACCCATTCTATACCCCATACCTCTCTACTTCTACCCCCCTCTGCCTGTCTCCCACCATGACAATCCAAACCACCGACGTTACTGTTCCCCTCCTAATAAATGGCCACGAAGAAACAACCCCCAAAACCTTCCCCGTAACAAGTCCTTACACCAATACAACCATCTGGGCCGCCTCCGCCGCAACACCCCAAGATGCAATCCGCGCCGTCGAAGCTGCCGACGCCGCCTTCCCCTCATGGTCACAGACAAAACCAACCGTGAGACGCGATATCCTCTTCAAAGCTGCTGATATCCTCGAGGCTCGTCTCGAGACCAATGCCGAGTACATGCGTCAAGAAATGGGCGCGGACATCGGCGCCTCTGCGGGGTTCGTCGTCCCGCTTGCGGTGCGCATGTTGCGCGAGGTTGCGAGCCGTACTACATCCATCTGCGGCAGTGTACCTGTCGTTGAGGCGGAGGGGCAGAGTGCGATGATTTTCAAGGAGGCTATGGGTGTTATCTTGGGAATTGTGCCGTGGTGAGTACCTTCGGCTGTAATCTGTGTTTTCATGGTTGCGGGGAACTTTATTTTCTATATACATCCATGGATAGAGAGACCTTGGGATTTATACAATGCTATCAATCGCATCACAACGCTAATTATTACTTCTACAGGAACGCTCCCTACGTCTTCGGCATCCGCTCCGCAGCCTGTGCACTCGCGGCTGGAAACACAACAGTCCTGAAATCCTCCGAACTAACTCCCCGCTGCTACTGGGCCATCGGCCGCGCCTTCGAAGATGCCGGTCTCCCCGCAGGTTGTCTGAATATCATTCACTGCGCCCCGCAGGATGCCCCCGAGGTCGTCAATGCCATGATTGAGCACGAAGCCGTGCGCAAAATCAATTTCACCGGTAGCACAGCTGTTGGTCGGAAGATTGCACGCACCTGCGGTCAGAACCTTAAGCCTTGTCTTATGGAGCTAGGCGGGAAGAATAGCTCGATTGTGTGTCAGGATGCCGATTTGCAGACTGCCGTGCAGGGAGTATTGGCGGGGGCATTTTTGAATGTGAGTTTGAGCACCACTGCGTATGACGCACGTAGCATATCTATATCGCATATCTACCTTCTCCGAGTTAATAACTGACCCTATTCTTTTCGTCGTGTTAGTCCGGCCAGATTTGCATGGCAACCGACCGAATCCTCGTCCACACTTCCATCCTCCCCGCCTTCACAGAGGCTCTACAAAAGGCCCTCGCAGCCGGCGCAGCAGCCTCAGCCCTGCCACCAACACTAGTCAACACAGCCTCCAAAACCCGTGTCGAGGCCCTCATCGCCAACGCCGTCTCAGCAGGCGCGCACTTCATCTCCGGGTCTGCGGACAGCGTCCCTACAGACTCGGGGGTGCGGATGGCGCCCGCCGTTCTGGGCGGAGTGAAGGAAGACATGGCGCTGTGGCAAGAAGAGTCTTTCGCGTCTGTTGCGGCATGTATGCCCTTCGACAGCGAGGACGAGGCGATCCGTCTTGCGAATGGGAGTGGGTATGGACTTTCGGCGTCTGTCTTCACGGAGGATCTGCGGAGGGGCTTGGCGATGGCTCGACGTATTCAATCTGGGTATGTTTTTGGATGTTCCAGACTCTGGTGTTCCAGACCGAGCTTCCGTTTTGGTTTTGGTTGGGTGGATTACGTGGAGTTGTGGATCTTTTGCTGACTTTGTTGCAGGGCGGTTCATATTAACAGTATGACGATCCATGATGAGCCGGCTCTTCCTCATGGCGGTGTGAAGAATAGTGGCTGGGGGAGGTTCAATACTGATGAGGGATTGAATGAGTTTTTGGTTACGAAGAGTGTGACCTGGATGGATTAATATTTCTTTTTTGGAGAGGATTATCGGTGTTTTGGTTGGGTTCTTAAATTGTAGTTGCTGTCAAGGCGCACATCTGCGGTGTAGATTTTCCTACCTGCTTCCCAGGGCCTATACTACCATAATTGAAACATATTTATACCATATCCGTCCTTTTTTTTGCCTTTAGCCCACTTGTTTCGTCAGAAACCCGTTCGATAATCTGCTCGCTCGCGCCTGGACTCTTGGTGTATATGTATTTTCTCGGTGCTCATTAACCCGAGCGACCGCAGTCGAGATCCACAATATGGTAGTAAGCTGTCGAGCTCAACTAGAACAAGACTCGATGAGCTGCAAACTTGAGGATATTCTCCATGTTTATAATACTTATACGGAGTATTAAAATCCAGAACCAAGTCGGCATTTGAATTGAAAACCGGTGGACGCACGATGGACGCACGGTGCACAGATGAGCTCATCAGCCCCACTGAGGCAATTCCCATCCCCGGATTAGGTCAGCTCCACATTGTTGCTTCACCAATCAGAAAGCATACGTTCCTCAGCCGGCAACTGGTTTTGCCTCTTTCCGATCATTTCCAAGGTCCATGAGTTGCCCATTTGATATTTCCAGAGAACGACTTGGGATATTGAATCCGTAATATATACCCATATGTACTACATCGTACATAGGTAGGCCTCGAATAGATCCAAAGTGAGATTCAAATATTCAAGTGTTAAAATGGTACTTTTCTCCTCACGCATCATGCCATGCAGAATGCGGAAGCTTCGGACACCGCAATTGTTATTCCGAGGTTCACACTTCTTACTGTAAGGACCGAGGAACCTTGAAATCCGGAATTCAAGGTCTGTTTCTCTGCTGGAAAATACACCTATGGAGCACTGGTAGTGCGTTCTACTAATTCCGTTGATATTTCCGATGGAGCTTCAGTGTTTTTTGGTCTATTCCCCCTCAACTCCTTGAAAGACCTGGAATGTGACATGACGCAGATGCATGTGAAAATGAAAATGAAACATTCTAGATGAATCTCATAAGATGTATCTATGCAGTTGAATATTATATCGCATGTGATAACTACCCCGGACTGTAATAAAATGAAATAAAAAAACAGACAAACCAGAGGTGGGCAATTAGTCTTACAGCGGGTACCCCCATCTTTCATCTCCCCACGTCTTCCATTCTTTCGTGCCTCGGCCGATAGACCGTCGGCTTCTGACCTGCCCCGAACCCTTTCTCTTTAAGATCCTAACATCCTTTCCGTCCTTTCTTCTTTTTTTTTCTTTCTTCCCCATATTCACCTTTTATTCCTACACATAACATAATGGCTGCACCTCAAGTAATTGTGGTCGGTGGTGGCCGTAAGGATCCCTTTCCCCGCATTCTTTCCCTTCCAGCTAACTTTCTCCAGTCTCTGGCCTCAGCGCCGCACACACCATCTACCTCAACGGTGGCAATGTCCTCGTTTTGGATAAGCAGGCTTTCTTCGGTGGTAACTCTACCAAGGCCACCTCCGGTATCAACGGTGCTCTCACTCGCACCCAAACCGATCTCGGCATCCAGGACAGCGTCAAGCAGTTCTACGAAGATACCCTCAAGTCCGCCCGTGACAAGGCCCGTCCCGACCTGATCAAGGTCCTGACCTACAAGTCCGCTGCCGCCGTCGAGTGGTTGCAGGATGTCTTCAACCTCGACCTTACCCTCGTCTCCCGTCTCGGAGGACACACTCACCCCCGCACACACCGTGGCCATGATGCCAAGTTCCCCGGTATGGCCATCACCTACGCCCTGATGCAGCGATTGGAAGACCTTGCCGAAAGTGAGCCCGGTCGCGTTCAGATCGTCAAGAAGGCCAACGTCACCTCCATCAACAAGTCGGGTAACAACGTCACCGGTGTTACCTACACCATCAACGGCGAGGAGAAGTCTGTCGACGGTGTCGTCGTTCTCGCTACCGGTGGTTACGCTGCTGACTTCAGTGAAACCTCCCTCCTCAAGAAGCACCGCCCCGACACCTTCGGTCTGTCCTCCACCAACGGCACCCACGCTACCGGTGACGGCCAGAAGATGCTGATGGCCATCGGTGCCAACGGCATCGACATGGACAAAGTCCAGGTCCACCCCACCGGTCTCGTCGACCCCAAGGACCCAGATGCCAAGTTCAAGTTCCTCGCCGCTGAAGCCCTCCGCGGTGAGGGTGGTCTCCTCCTCAATTCCGACGGCCAGCGCTTCTCTGACGAGCTCGGCCACCGTGACTACGTCTCCGGCAAGATGTGGGAAGAAAAGGAGAAGGGCAAGTGGCCCATCCGTCTCGTCCTCAACAGCAAGGCCTCCAAGGTCCTGGACTTCCACACCCGCCACTACTCCGGCCGCGGCTTGATGAAGAAGATGACCGGCGCCGAGCTCGTTGCCGAAATCGGCTGTGGCGAAGCAGCCCTCAAGAAGACCTTCGACGAGTACAACCTCATCGCTGACGGCAAGAAGAAGGACCCCTGGAACAAGCGTTTCTTCCACAACATGCCCTTCCAGCTCGACGACGAGTTCCACGTCGCTCTCATGGAGCCCGTCCTCCACTTCACCATGGGCGGAATCGAGATCAACGAGCACGCCCAGGTCCTCAACAGCGAGCAGAAGCCCTTCGAAGGCCTCTACGCCTGCGGTGAACTCGCCGGTGGTGTCCACGGCGCCAACCGTCTCGGCGGTTCCTCCCTCCTCGGCTGTGTCGTCTACGGCCGTGTCGCTGGTGACTCTGCCTCCCAGCACCTCTTCCAGAAACTCCTCGCCAACGGCTCTTCCTCCGCTGCCTCCCAGCGTCTCGGTCAGATCTCCCTTCACATCGACCCCAACACTCCCGGCAAGGTCTCTGTTGAATGGGGCAGTGCCGCTACCGGCGGAAGCCTGCCTGCTCTCGCTCCCCTCGCCGCCCCTGCTCCCGGCGCCGAGGCTCCCGCCTCCAAGTCTGATCCCGCAACCTTCACCATCCCGGAGACTGAGTACTCCATGGAGGAAGTCGCCAAGCACAATTCCAAGGAGGACCTCTGGGTCGTCGTCAAGGGTGTCATCCTCGATCTCACCAACTGGGTCGATGAGCACCCCGGTGGCGCCAACGCCCTGTACAACTTCATGGGTCGTGATGCTACCGAGGAGTTCGCTATGCTCCACGATGACGAGGTTATCCCCAAGTACGCTGCTCAAACTGTGATCGGTCGTGTCAAGGGCCAGACCCCCAGCTTGGAGCTGTAGAGGTTATATCAAAACCACCTTCTTTATGCCTCTTCTCCTTGATGACTGCTCCCTCCCTCGATGAAATATGATCCCTCCAGCGTGTGATCTCTCATACCCCCGTTTCGTCTCTTTCTGCCGTTTCTTGTGCTGGCTTTGGCACGCTCGCTTCTTCCAGTCCTCGGATCTAAGATCCGATTGGATCAACTTGGTTTTTATGTAACATACATACCTTATTTTGGAATATATTCTTTTGAATCTTATATCGGTTTTGGATTTGATATAGTTGTAGTTGTAGTCGTAGCCGTGGTCTGTTCTAGGGTTCAGGGGGTCGCGCCTAGAAAGCCCCAGTACGCCCAATAACCAGAACACAGCTAGCCAATCCTGGATGCTGGCAATTGCCAAGCAGAGTGCCAATAAGAATCGTACAATCAACCAAATACTCACTGCCTACTAGTACTATCTCTCGTATATATCTAACATAATATTCACATACATGTACATGGTATATCGACACAAAACCAAAAGCCCTACTACAAGAACACGGAAATTCCAATACCGTACAATCACCCCTTCATATGCATCAAAATCATCTTCAACCTCCTCACAGCAGGCCCATCCTCTCCATGTCCCAACCCCTCAACCCCCTTCTCCTCAATCTCCGCCTTCGCCTCCTCAAGCACAGGCTGCAAATATCCCCATACTTCATCATGATATCTCTCCTGGACACCAATCCAATCACCCGCACCAGGGAGATTTGCCAACACAGCATCACGGAGTGAAGTAGAATTCGAAGTAGAATTGGAAGTGGAGGTAAAACCAGCACCCGTAGGTATGGCATTCCCCTCCGCAATCCTAATCCCACTCCCACTTCCAACCTCAACCCCCTGATTCAAAAAGACCTCAATATCAGTCTCCTGAACACCAACCCACTGACTCCCGCCAGGAATATTCCTCAAAACAGCATCGCGGATTGAAGTAGGAATGAAACCAGAACTGGAACCGAAACCCGTAGCCATAGCCATCGCATTCCCCTCCTCAATCCCGGCCCCAGTTCCACTCCCAATCCCAGTCCCAGTTCCACTCCCAATACCAATACCACTCTCAGCCCCAATCCCCTGACTCAAAAAAACATCAATATCAGGAATAAGACTCGCACCCGTTAACCGCGTATTCCCATCTCTTTCCTTATTCTTATCCTCCTCCACATCCAACCCCAACCCCCTCCGAAAAGAATCAAGCATCTCCCTCTCCGCAACAGAAAGCGGAGCCGGTGCAGCGGCAATATCAATCTCGGTATCGGGTACAGTCGTCGGATCCTCGAAATTCGGATCGAAGCTTAGATCGGATAATAATGACACGACCGCTGCACCGTCCGTAGTTGGGGTATCTGTTGTCTGCGGGGTTTGTTGGTCGTGCCATTGTCGCTGCCAGACGGTTTCGAATTGGTGTTGGGTTGGGTCGTGGGCGCGGGCTTTGCCTTTCCAGGTTGAGGAGGGGGTTTGGAGGTCTTGGGATTGGAATTGGGATTGGTTTGTTGCGGTGGTAGTGGTTGCGGTTGTGGTTGCGCGTAGCTGATCCGCCTCTGTGTTGTCTGCTGCTAGTCCATCATATCCATATCCGTATGTATTTCCCTGGAACTCGTCTTCTGTCAAGGCGGGTAGAGCGAATCCACCTGGTGTTGATGTATATGTATCGTGTTCGCGGAAGGATTGTGCTGCAGATGCAGACCCGGAGGCGGAACCGGGGGTTCCATGCGGTGTGGTATTTTTAGGTAGATCCCTGCTTGTTTGTGTATTCGGGAGGGAGGATGGACCGGCTGGTTTGCTACTTGTGCTTGATGCTAGGGTGTTGGCTAGGTCGGAGCTCGGTTGGAATGCGGTTTTTGCTAGGCCTGTTGCGGAGGCTTGGATGCGAGATGCTAGTGAGGGTGCGGAGGGTGCGGAGGTGGAAGGGGGTTTGGCTGAGGGGGTGTTTGAGGTTGAGGCTGAGGATGATGGGGCCGGGTTGTTGGAGCTGGGGTTGGGATTGCCCCGCATGTTCTCTTGGTTGGTCATGGCTTTGGATCTTTTGAATTTTGGGTTTGGGATTAGGGATTATGAGGGTGAGGTGTAGGGAGTAAGGGTTTAGAGTGAGGATGAGATGTAGGGATTGGGATTCGGGGATGGTAACTCTTCCAAGGTTGTCGGCTTGATGTTCGGCTTGGTGTTCGGCTTAATATGCCTGGGCCGGATGATGCAGGGAAGCATGTGAAGGCCGACTGGGATGAAGTATATAGCATGATACGGGTTGGGATAGAAAAGATAATATATTGTGTAGTATTTAATAGGGCATCTAGATACTTTTTTGTTGTACATTCTTAAGAATTAGGCTCATTTAGAAATATGACAGATTTGAAGATAGTCTGATATGTCCGGTCAAATATATACTTGTAGACCTATACTCATATATGAAGGAATTTTCAGCATATGGGATGCTCCGGATTGTGATGAATCTCCCCCAATTGCCTTTCTTGATTCCTCTACTAGATAACATATGATATATATGATATATACCAATGCTTAATTTGGCGGAGACCTGCTTGGGCCTTAAGGATGACGACAGAGGCGCATAGTCCTGTTTCGGGCATATAGATGATTGAATACCAAATTCCAAACAGATAGATCCAACTCAATCCAACTCAATCTGAGTAGATAGCTAGTAAATAACCCAATATTTCAATTGATCCGCCCACTTTAACCCGTTGTAGTATACGGGTTACAAGGCCGGGAGAGCCAAAGGGCAATGTTACAGTCGCTGGCAGTGTTGATGTCAGCATGTTGCAGGTGCCCGACCTGAATTCTGCTGCAGAATATTCAATCAAATGGCCATGGCCAGATGGAATCAAATTTGATTATTATTATATTTTATGTTTTCACATTCACTTGAGGAAAATAACTAGAATCTCTCCTTAATATTGACGGTGCCCAAGAAATTGGTCGCCTCAGTTTTGGTATCTCCGTAACTCTCCCCACCACCGCCTCAAACTCATCTGGGCAACTTCAACTTCACAACTCTTTTCCTTGTCTTCCTTCATCCTCCGGACCAAGTATGCAACCCACATCCCCTTTTACCCTTTTAATGTTTTTGGACTTTATTCTAACGAAAAAAAACCCTTCCTCGATAGAAACTTTTCTCTTATGACCCCCTCTCAAGCTCTTCTGCTGCGGGTCCACTCATAACAAGCACATTCACTGTGTTCTATCATCAAGCTACATTGCCATCTCATCCGGCAACAGCTCTCTTCATTCTTCAGCTCGTCTTTCCAACTTGGATCGTTCATAGCTGTTCCCCCCCCTCTGCCCCTCTTTTCGCCTTACCGCCATCCGCCAGACCCCTCGCACACCATCTCCGGTGACCGACTGTTCTCTCAATTTCCGCTTTCTCCAATCGTTATTCCCATCCGACCGAATTCTTTCGTGTCGGCTATCGCGCCTACTTCGCTTCAACCTAAGTGATTCTTTGCATCGACAATAGAGCTCTCACGAGGCATTTGCCAGCCCGCATTTCCCGTCCCTCCTATCTTGGTCCTTGCCCTTGTCGCGTTCAAGGGCTAGCTAGAACGTGAAAATGGTAGACAGAGATCCAGGCACACCTACCTGGAAGTTCACACAGTAAGTTCGTCCTCGGATCAACGCATTTTCGGATTTTCCCACCCTGTGGTTTCCATTTTTCTCTTCCTTTTGTCCAGGCGTCATCGACCCAACGTCACCACAAAGAGTCATTGAATGGGGACTAACTTAATCTTAGATGCTTCGGCGATAAAGGCGATGTAGAAGATATTACAGAAGGTAATTGGCAGCCTCCCTCGCACTACTCGGCCGAATCTGGTCAATCTCCACAGAGTGCATCGACTGACAATCGCTCTGCAGCGGATATCATCTCGACCGTCGAATTTGACCACACCGGTAACTATTTGGCCACTGGTGACAAGGGAGGAAGGGTGGTGTTGTTCGAGCGAAACGAGACGGTATCCCACCCCCTCCGGTCTTCTCGAATTTTTTTCCTTTTCTTGTTTTTGCCTTGCGCTAATTACTGAACAACACAGAAAAAAACCTGCGAGTATAAGTTTCACACAGAGTTCCAGTCACACGAGCCAGAGTTCGATTATCTCAAGTCGCTAGAGATCGAAGAGAAGATCAACAAGATAAAATGGTGCCGACGACAGAATGCATCCCATTTCCTTCTTTCGACGAACGACAAGACGATAAAGCTTTGGAAGGTCTTCGACAAGTCGCTGAAGGTGGTCGCCGAGAACAACTTATCGAATGAACTCACTCCTGCGAACCCGGTTGGAGGTGGAGGTATGGCTCGCGCCCCCCGTGTATCCTTCAAGGACCCCTCTGCGCTCAAGCTGCCTCGTCTGACACACCATGACACTGTTGTTGCTGCTGTTCCGCGGAGAACATACGCCAACGCTCACGCGTATCATATTAATAGCATTTCCGTTAACAGCGATGGTGAAACCTTTATCAGCAGTGACGACCTGCGAGTGAACCTATGGAACCTCAACATCCAGGACCAGAGCTTCAACATCGTGGATATCAAGCCAGCGAATATGGAGGAACTCACAGAAGTCATCACTGCAGCCGAGTTCCACCCGGTCAGCTGTAACTGGTTCATGTATGCCAGCTCCAAGGGCACAATCAAGCTTGCGGATATGCGACAACGGGCGTTGTGTGACGAACACGCCAAGCGTATGTTACACCCTAGGGAATTGTGCTAATTACACGCACTGACTATTTTATGCAGAGTTCGAACAAGAAGAGGATGCCTCGTCCCGTTCCTTCTTCTCCGAGATTATCTCCTCCATCTCCGACGTGCGATTCTCCAACGACGGGCGGTACATTGTGTCTAGGGATTACTTGACAGTGAAGATTTGGGATGTCAACATGGAACGCCAGCCAATCAAGACCATCCCCATCCACGAGCACCTGCGCCCTCGCCTCTGCGATACGTACGAGAACGATAGCATCTTCGACAAGTTCGAGGTGGTCTTCTCTGGCGATGCGGAAAATGTTATGACCGGCAGTTACAACAACAACTTCATGATCTACCCCACACAAGAAGAAAAGGACACGGAGATTGTGCTCCAGGCCGACAAGTCGGCATTCAAGGCAAAGAAGGTTGGTGTACCAACGCCGATGAGCAAGGGTAACGCAAAGAAGGCCGGTTCGCGATCCGGCAGCCCTGCCGGCCCCGGCAGTCGCATGAAGAAGGAGACCGATGCGGATCAGATCGACTTCAACAAGAAGATCTTGCACATGAGCTGGCATCCATTCGAAGATAGCATTGCAATTGCGGCGACAAACAATGTAAGTCTTGTGTCTCTGTCTAAAACCATAACAATGCTAATTGCGAATATAGCTCTTTGTCTTCTCCGCTCTTTAATCGCACCAAGTACCATCGTACCATCACAAGGCCATTATCATTTTCCATGAACAGGCGCATCTGGGGTTTGGATCGGGTGGCTGGAGGGCCTTGGTGAACAGGCAAGATATGAAGAATGAAAACCAGAAAATAATGATAGCAGCAAGCCACAGGTTCCATAATCACAAGACTTTCCCCTTCCCCCCTTCCTCTCAATTCCCTATCTCTGCTCTCCCCTATCTCTGCTCTCATTGTGGAACTCATCTGTCTGGGTTTTGGAGACCTAGTTTTTCTTTACCTATGTCCCCTTTTACTCTTTCTCCTGCTATTGCGGTGGGGTTGCCAAAGGCGTTGTATGGTGGTCAACTCATGATAGAGAATGTCATGCCTGTTTGAGGCCCCTTCCATAGTTAGTGAAAGACTATAGATTTGGTAGCTAACTAGCATGGAGATGTTAGAAGTCCTTCCTTAGTTCCAAGCAGATCAGTATAATTTTACGGTTTAGGCGTTTATCTTACTTTATCTGTTACTTTCTCTGAATATATAGGAGAAAAGATATGAAGAAAATGTACCTTGAAAATGTATCTTTTAGAAAGGACCTTGAAAAAGATGCCGAAGAAGAGGCCACTCAACTGGCCGTTGTTAGCCAGCCCTTACCCTCCGCCCCTTTCCGAGGCATGACAAGCGAGAGGCACCCCCAGCCTTCAGAGCGGGCCTTGATGTGCAGATTGATACAGAAGATAAGCTATACAATGAACAATAAGCTACAGGTCTATTGAAACTATCTACCTCCATTCATAACTCATGCTATTCACGATTGTTCCCCTGTTCCCTCAATGCCTGTCATGTTTTTCTGCCGGCAATGGCGGGCGATGACGAAGGCGGACTGAAATTGACCTATCGCACAATACAACCCATGACCAATGTACCGCCTCCCATTGACGGAGATCCCGTCAATAGATACAAACAATACCGTAATAAATGAATTCTGAATACACTTCGGAGAATTGAATGTCCGACAAGCAGTCACTAAGCCATAATAGGTTAGCTCCGGAGAGGAAAGCCTCCACAGGAGCCCGCGATCGGTCGCGCGCAATTCCATCACCCCAGTCTGTGTCTCCTTCTTGTCTATCGTACTTCTACTTCTCTACCGGTTCTTTCTTGCTGCGTGGAGTCGGTTTCTGTCTTCTTATCTGCAGGATTTCAGGTCATGCTGTGACCCTAGTGCAACCTGAGCGTTGCCAGTCGATTCCAACCCACGAGACTACGAGCTCCAGCTCTTCGATTACCAGACCCTGACTTTTTTCTCCCCTCGTCGACCCTTCCTATCCGTCAAATCTACCTTCCTACATCTCTCCTACTGGGGTTCGTGTATACATCATGAACTCTGGAAACGATAACTGGCACTCCTCTGGTGGGCCGCCGTCGCATCCTGGCATCGATCAAATGAACCAGCAGCCTCGGCCCCTGGGGTCATTCAGGTACGAGCAGCCATATATAGTACAAGCGGCTTGGTGCCTTGATATCAGAGACTAACACGACGTTCTTGCGCTTCCACAGTCAAAATCCCTCTCAGCAAGGTCAGGCCTCACAACCCTCGGGCCCAGTACTTCCCCCTCCAGGTGGTGAGTGGCTCTTTGTGAATCAC